CTAGAAATGCGGGGCTCTCAGTCTCTGGGCTGATCAGGAGACTGGGAATTTAGGGGTAGGGCTTGGGGTGTTGGGTTTGTTTGTTGGTTTGTTTTTTTGTCACTGATGCCCTTGAGGGCTGCTGCTCCTGGCCATCTGCCCTTTTCTGCTGTATTTGTACCCTGACTGCACTGAATTGACGGCAAGACCCTCCCCCACCCCTCCTGGCCTTTCCTTTTTTCCTTTCTTTTAAGCTCCTTCCCAATGGCTCAGTGTTGGTGGGGGAGGGGAGAGTGCTTTTTTTTTTTTTTTTTTTTTGGTCGGTTGTGGGGCCTGAACTCTGGGTCTGGGTGCTGTCCCTCAGCACTTCAGCTCAAGGCTAGTGCTCTACCGCTTGAGCCACAGTGCCACTTCCGGCTTTTTCTATTTATGTGGTGCTGAGGAATCAAACTCAGGATCCCATGCATGCAAGGCAAGCACTCTACCACTGAGCCACCTTCCCAGCCCTGTGATTTTTAAAATTTAACCAAATTCAGTGAGAAAGCGAGTGCAACAAAACGGGCAGATCTGGCTTGGTCATAGAAGTTCCAAACAAGTAGGCTGAAGGGATTGGATGGAACCAACTCATTAGCCACACAACTCAGTTGCTTTAGGAAGAGGGTTGGGCGTTTTAACTATGCTCTGTGCCAGACATGACACTGGGTACGGTACTTTCCAGATACATCATGCCTCTCCCTGACAGGTAATCTTTGAGAATCTGTTATTACTGATAAAGAAACTGGGACTCATGGAGAACTCCTTGTAGTTCCTAAGGTACATCGTGTCTTGTCACAATGTGGGGATGCTGTTCTGTGGAGGAAATTTGTGTTCTCTTGGTTGGCCACTGTCTTTAAAGATTCTAAAAAAGCATTAATTTTTATTAGTATTATAAAGGTGTACAGAGGTGTTACATAAGTCAGGTAAACAGTACATTCTTTTTGGGCAATGTCACCCTTCCCTCCAAAAACAACTTTTTAAAGTTTTGTGGGGGTTTTTGTTTGTTTTTTTGTAGGTCGTGGGATCTGAATTCTGGGCCTGGGTGCTGTCCCTCAGCTCTTCAGCTCAAGGCTAGCACTCTACCACTTGAGCCACAGCACCACTTGTTTTCTGAGTGCTTTTACTGGAAATAAGAATCTCATGTACTTTCCTGCCAGGTTTGGCTTTGGACTGAGATCCTCAGATCTCAGCCTCCTGAGTAGCTAGGATTACAGGTATGAGCCACCGGCACCCAGCTAACTTTTAAAAGTTTTTAACAAGGATTCTGGTATAACAGGGTAAGCAGTAAGAAACATGTCCTCCTTGGTAGGAAATGGGAGTTAAAGACCTCCCAAGAAGCTTTCTGTGAAAAGCCAACTTTGCTGAGAACAAAAAATCTTAGTATTTCCCATTTTCCTAAAACAAAGGTCTAAAGGAATTTTTTTCCTATATTTTAGGGACAATTCCAGGCCTCCTTCCTTCTGCCACTTTCTTTTCATTTTTTTTTTTTCTTACTCTCCCTTCCTTTCTTCCCATATTTCTTTTTTTTTTTTTTTTTGCCAGTCATGGGGCCTGAACTCTGGGCCTGGGCGCTGTCCCTCAGCTCTTCAGCTCAAGGCTAGCACTCTACCACTGGAGCCACAGCGCCACTTCGGCTTTTTCTGTTTATGTGGTGCTGAGGAATCGAACCCAGGGCTTCATGCTTGCAAGGCATGCACTCTACCGCTGAGCTACCTCCCCAGCCCTCTTCCCATATTTCTTTAAGACAGGTTTGCACTGTGTAGCACAGGTTGGCCTAACTCTATTTTTTTACCTTGGCCTTTCCAGTGCTGGGAGTACAGGTGTGCATCACCTTGCTGGTTTCCAATCCTTTTTGTGTCATTCTTTCTTCTTTCTGGATGGTAGGTGACATATCAAGGCAGGCTTGAAAGCAATTTTGTGGGATTTCTAGATTCCTTTCTTTCCAACATCTCAAACATCTACTTTCTGACACCACTCATCTTATTTCTACCTCTTTCCTAGGGTCAAGTTTATTTTCTCCCTTCTCTCCTCTCTTTTGTAGGTCCTGGGGTTTGAACTTAGAGCTTTGCACTTGTTTGGCTTATTGCTTGCTCAACTGGTGCCCTACCACTCCAGCCCTGCTTTTTGCTGGTTATATTGGAGATGGGTCTTTTAAGTACTTTTTCTGCCCAGGCTAGATTTGAACTCTAATTCTCTAGGTGTCAGTCTTGAGTAACTAGAATTACAGTCGTGAGCCTGTATGATGTTTAGTTCTGTTTCACAAAGGATTTCACTCTGTATTCTTGATACTTTCGGCTGAAAAATTATTAGGGGGACTGCAATTGTAGGATGTTTAGCAGAACTTCTGGTCTCCTCTCACCTTACTTATGAGAACCCAAAATGCCTAGATATTGCAAAAAATGTTCCTTGAAGAGCAAAATCTTCAATTCAGTTTAGGGAACTGAATTGATGTGAATTTCCAAGAAAGCTCTTGGCTTAAGGCCTAAGTGATTTGATTTTGGAATTTTTTTCGAGGGTGTAATTTGTTAAACTCTTAAAAATCTCTACTTTGTATTAAAATTCACAACCCACACCTAGCTCATCACTGACTTAATGTGATCAACCTGCCATAGCCCAAGTGGGTTTCTTACTAAAAAGGAATTCATTATCTACTTTTCTTCTCAATACCTCTCTCCTTAAGCAGTGAATATTTGGGGACTGACAGCTCCACAACTTGTTTTTTTGTGATCTTAATTAACCAGTAAAGTACTATCCTAAACAGTGGCAGAAATCTCTATCAATGGCCAGTTTTGAGGTTTTGTTCCTTTTTGTCTATCCTTAGGGTGAAGGCCAGAGACTGATCTCTTAGAACTGGGATTGAAGACAGCACCCAGGACTCCTCTAGCCTCTATCTAAAGCTAACTGCCGGATTTAAGGCTGCCTTTGCCCTTACTTTTAGAGAAGGAATTTGAAAAATTGGTGTTGTAGAGATTGCAAAGATCAACAGGAAAAACCTCAGTCCATGATCTTTTCCACACTAAGTGGAATGGAAGACAATAAAGATCAGACATCTGTCTGCTCACATAGGCCTAAATGTTCAGAACTTGTAAAGATGTCTGGGTTGGGAGTGGGGTGGGAGGGACACTTTGAGAATTAATAAGAAAGTGAGAACTGCAAATGTTGAAACTACAGGTCATTGGGCTGAGAATGTGGCTTAGTGGTAAAGTGCTTGCCTAGCATGCATGAAGCCCTGGGTTTGATTCCTCAGTACCACAAAAACAGAAAAAGCCGGAAGTGGCGCTGTGGCTCAAGTGGTAGAATATTAGCCTTGATTGAGCAAAAGCAGCTCAGGGACAGTGCCCAGGCCTGAGATCAAGCCCCAGGACTAGCAAAAAAGATAAAAAAGAAAGAAACTACAGATCATGGAATTAGCACTCCTAAAATTTCTTTTAACTTACTTGCCAACAAGGAAGTGATAATTTGTTGCCACATTATTGATCAGAGGCAACCATAAGTATACCTAGGAATTAAATAATCAGGGATGGTCTGTTTTTTGTTTGCATAGAAAGGTCCAGAAGTGAGTTACTTTAAAACCAACATTGCAAATGTCCCTTGTCCCAAATCTCAGGTTTTATTCCAAGGGCTGGAGGTATAACCGGGTATAGTTACTAGGAACATACATACCCCTTTGTTCACTTAAGCACTTTAATCCCTAGAGGGCAAATAATAAATAGTGCCTGGCACTGACACAGCTTATAAAGAAGATGAAGTCTTAAACTACTTTATTTTTGAGGCTATTTAGCAGTTAGGACAATATAGTAGAAAAAGAACACCTCCTTTCTCCATAAAGGGCATGAGTGGGTGTAATAATGCAATGTAGGCTAGAGTTCCCTACATGGAACTGATGTTTATGCAGTAAGCAGTGTGCGCCTGTCTGTAAGTAGCACTTTTTTTATTTTTTGATACATCAGGCCATTGAATCTTTACCCTAGGAGATAATCATTATCAATTTCACAGGCAAAAAAACTGAGGCTTTGATTGGTTATATAATTTTGCCAAGTTATACAACTTGTAAATGGCAAAGCTGGAGTTCAAACTCAAGCATTAGCCCAATTCAGAGTTTAGGCTCTTTCTATAATTATTATGAGGTAGAGAAGCATGCCCAGCAGCGGGCAGCCTGGACTGATTCTAGGAGTATGAAACTAAGACCAGGCACATGGGTTTTCATCCTTCACAAAAGAATCAAGCTTTATAGAGGGAGCAAATCCTCCCAGCTGACTCGAAGGCTTCACTGCTAGCTGCTGCCTTATCTGAACTGGAATGGCTAAAGCTTTCAGCCATTACCAACTTCCCTGTGGCTCTTAGCTTAAATAAGCACAAGACAAAATGGCAGAATAGTCTGATAAGGAAAACATCTCATGTACGGGATGTACAGCTAAACAGGATGATCATCTAAAAGCTTCCCAGAGCTGGTTACTTCTACTGGTAGATGAGAAAGAACAGGCAACTGGATTCATCCTCCAGTTACTGAGTTAGCCAGGTAACCTGACTTACCAACAAATCTCTGCCCAAATAATTTCCTTCCCTTTGAATGAATGTAGGGAGATCCTGAATGCCTGGAGCCCTTTGGTCCCAAACTATGGTTATGCTGACCTTCCTGTGCTCTCCAGCTAAGGCCTGCACCCAGAGGGCATGAGGGACTTAGAGCTATGCATTCGTGTTTGTACCTTAAGCTACCACTCTCCACTCCCCAGGGTAGTGGTTGTAAGAAGGCATGTTCTTTATATCTGGAGCCGTGTGTGTGTCCAGGTGGATGTGGGCAGAAGGAACAAGGTATTTACCAGTACAGTGACCTAGCAAGGAATGAAAGTCTCAAGGCAATGGTCACTCAATGGTTACAGCCTATGGGTAAGAGCTTCAGCATTTTACACCTTTGCCCAGAGACCTCTCACCTCTGAATTACTTAGTGACAGAAGCAAAGAATACTCTCAGGACAATAATCCATTTTAAGAATATTTTATTTATCTTTTGAGATTACATAGTCATTATTGCTGATCTAATACAATCACTTAGACATAAAGATTTCCAAGAGCTTCTCAGAATGGCGATCTTTTAGAGGTTCTGTTCCTTTCAGTAAGATGACAGTGAGAACTAGATTATTATTTATATATATATATATATGTGTGTGTGTATATATATAGTTTAGGACTTTTCCACGTATAATTTGCTGGTGTTGCCTATTTTCTTTCCATAGTTTTCCTTTATAAAAAAGCTTAATGCAACAATTCACTTTGATTTGTTTAAGAACCATGACAAAGTTAATTTTGAGAAAACCACAGGAGCAGCAATTTCAGATCTGTTCAGAGAAAAGCTAAGCAGCAAAAACAGCTTTGCAGGAGTGTGTGGCCAAGGGGGGAGCCGTGCTTACATGGGAGGGCAGGATGGGGAGGGAGCAGGGCAGAGGGGAACTAGAAGAGATTCATTTTTGGGGTACTGGGGTTTGAACTCAGGGCTTTGCCATCAGATCCATACCCTCAGCCTTTGATTTTGCCTTAGGCATTTTTCAGGTAAGGTTATGCTTTTTGCCTGGGCTGGCCTCAGTTTATGATCTTCCTATCTGTTTCTCCTGTGTAGCTGGGACTACACCCATTAACTACCATGCTCAGCTTGTTAGCTGAGATGAAATTTTGCTAATATTACTCTTCTTACAAGGAGCTGGGATTTAGGTGCTTTTTTTTCTTTTTGGTCAGTCGTGGGGCCTGAACTCTGGGCCTAGGTGCTGTCCCTCAACTCTTCAGCTCAAGGCTAGTGCTCTACTGCTGAACCACAGTGGCACTTCTGGCTTTTTCTGCTTATGTGGTGATGAGGAATCGAACCCAGGGCATCATGCATGCAAGGCAAGCACTCTACCACTGAGCCACCTTCCTAGCCTTCTAGGTGCATTTTTAAAGAAGAAACAGCAAACTAAATATTTCCATTAAAAGGCAAAAAGACCTTGGAACTAGCACAAGTTCATCTTAGGTAAAATGGTAAGTATTCCCACAGGCTAGGGCCACATTCAAAGAGATAATTATTAATTAGCCTTTTTTTTCCATGCCTCCTAATAGGAAGGTGAAAGGTTGGGGAAAGGAAAGCAACTGCTCTGATTCCAAGGACAGAGGAGTAATGATAAAATTCCAACAATAAAATTAAATAGGAGAGCTTGACCTCCTTCTTTTTCCTGGTTGATGACACAAGGTCCCCAAAGAAAGAGAAGAGAAGTAATCTGAAATTTAGAGGCAACTACTCACTATAGGCAGCAACACTGGTGACCTAACTTAGAAAACCGTGTGTCTCCTTTCCTCTGTGGAGTAACAGTGTGTTGCCTGTAAGAATTAGCTCTCAGTAAATGCCATAGAGGCAAGCTGTGCAGAGAAGCAGCAGGTTATGAATTTTGGTTTAAAAGTTAATAGGCTAGGGCCCAGCTTATCAGCCTAATGGAAACTGTTCTGGATATAAGATGGAGGTACAAAGACCCAAAGCTTTTGCTAAAGAGACCCAATTAATTAATACAAAAGTCAGAATTGGGCAGGCAAAAGAACTGGGTAGCCTTGTGGGGTTTTCATTACTTATGGTCTTCCTCATAAGAAAGAGTGCAGCCATATGTGCTCTTGTCTAGTACTGCTGTGACATATGGCCTCTTCTTAGGGGATGAGCCTATATGCTATTTAATGAGGTAAACAGCTGTTTATCCAAGCCTACTTCCCTAGCTCCAAAAGTAAGGACACTTCCAGACTAGCTCTGGGGGTCTATGTGAAGATAGGGAGACAGAGTGTGGAGGAAGGGGAGGATTCAAATGGGAAGGCTGGAATGATTCTGAGTGGTCTGGTATTTCCTTGATACACCATGGTCTTGAGACTTTGAAGCAGATCAATGTAAGAAAAAAATGGGACACAAATGTGCGAGCACATAGGGGTGGCTGGGGAAAAAGAGACTCATTTCATCCTAGTGTCATTCCAGGTGTTAATTCTTAGAACCAACCAATCTGGTTCATTCCAATGAAAACCTTGAAGCCAGTAAGTCAGTTTCCAAAGGAATCCCATTGGGACATAAAATTTCATATTGTTCATTTTACTAATTTTAAAACTAATTTTGGAATTACTTAAGAAACTATCTCTGCAACAGAATCTTTAAAAGGAAGAGGTAAGATCATGAAGATGCCAGCAGAGAGGAAAGACGACAGATTGGGTTGCAGATCTTACTTTCATCCATGGCAATGGCCAAAAAATGAATGTCTGATGAGGTAACTAGTCAAACTAGCTTTGAGCTCCAAATGGATTAAAATGTCACCTTTTTACCTATTAGCTTAACCAAGTCTTTCCTGGGAAACAAATAAACATACCTGCTTCTTTCAGGGCCAAGCTGTGTACCTGAAAGACTGGTGCCATTTTCAAAGTCTTAATCTTCCAAATCCCTGGCAAAGTATGTCTTTTCAAGCTCAGTTTCAGAAGTAGTTTTAGGCAATAACAGGAAGCTTCAGGAAGAACTGTTCTACAACAAACCCTCCTTTTCTGAGTCAGTGCCAGTCTGGAGTGGGCTTCCTGAGCAGTGCTTGGTGGGTTAGAAAGACAGCAAAACAAACATCTGATAAACACCAGAGCTGGTGGTGAGATCATAGAGGCATACCCCTCTTGGAACCAGAAGCATTAAAACGGACTTACGAGTCAAGAAGAAAGGAGTCCTATGTAAGGAAGGAGACCCCATTAGGCACAGACAACAGGCACAACTAAGTTCTCGAGTGGCTTGCAAGGCCTTAACACTCCTTTTTTACTAGACTTTTTTGTAAAGAAGGCAGTGACAGTGTGGCCAAGGCTGAGAACCCAGGCCATGTGAATTCAGTGGCTCCCAAAAGGCTTCACCAGGGGAGAATGATCAAAGCTGAGAAAGGCAGCTGCTGAATTTATTCCAGAAAACCCCAGGGAACAAAGAGTCTGGAATCCCTGAACTCCTGAGCCTGGATGAGAGAAACAGCTATTGCTGAGGAGTTCATCAATAGGCAATGATGTGAATGATGCACTAGGCTTGGCGACCCCATTGCTTTCCTTCCTCAGCCTGTCTTCTGCAGTTCCCATGGCCCTAGGAGCAGTAACCACACTCTGGGCCAAGGCTACAGGCACAGGATTCTAGATTTTAATAAATAAATAACCTAACACACAGGGAGAGCACGGCGGGCAGCTCTGATTGGAGAAGCAGCTTGCTGGGTTCTTTCTTAGATAGTAGTGGAGAAAAGGCTTGGAGTTCTATTCCTTAAAATGTCTTCTGGCTTGAGTTACAGGAATTTAATACCTGGAAAGAAAAAGAAAGATGAGACTGATACTATCGGCTAGTAGGCCTGTTGAAACCTGAAGAGCCTATCTAAAGACAGGAGGCAGGGGCTCTCCTGAAGTGCATGAGAATTCATACTTGGGGTCCTTTCATATCAGAGAAAAGGCCAGTATATTTTCTTGGAGGAAGGGAATATTAACATTGTGTAGAAGATCTCAAAGAGTCCTTTGAGGGTGCCAAAAAGGGAGTGGGTTAATTTCCCTGAGTCAATGTAAACCTATGTGTTGGGGTTTGAGGAGATGCAAACACCAATTCCCGTACAGGAAGCTCTTCACTGCCTAGGCTTCCCTGAATTCTAGGGACCCCAAGGCACCTGTAGTAATTAGGCTTGAAAGGCCCATTCTTGTTGAGTCCCAGATACTTCGCCTGTTCATCTGTCAGCTCTGTCAGGTGGGCATCAAAAGTTGGTAGGTGTAGGCTTGCCACATACTCATCTGGAACAGACCACAAAAGCCCTGGTGTAAGCATTCATGCCCCCTCTCTGGCTGTCCTCCCAAGTGAGGCCTTAAACAGTTGGAAGATGTGTTCTAATTCTTGGAGTTGAGTAAAAGATGTTAGACTTTTGTTCATGGGCCACCAATTATTATTATGTTTTTATTAAAATTTTTTTTGTGATCATGGGGCTTGAACTCTGGCCCTGGATGCTGTCCCTGAGCTCTTCAGCTCAAGGCGAGTGCTCAACCAGTTGAGCCACAGCCACTTCGGTTTTCTGGACATAAGAGTCTCATGGACCATGATCCTCAGATCTCAGCCTCCCGAGTAGCTAGGATTACAGGCATGAACCACTGGATCCCGGACCCCAATTCTTATTTTATTTTTCTTGTTATGGTTAAGGTATTATACAGAGGGGTTACCGTTTCTTCTTTCTCCTTCCTTCCTTCCTTCCTTCCTTGTTTCCTTGTGGGGCCTGAACTCTGGGCCTGGGCGCTGTCCCCCAGCTCTTCAGTTGTATACCGGGGCTCTACCACTTGAGCCTCAGCCCCACTTCCGTCTTTTTCTGCTTATGTGGTGCTGAGGAATCCAACCGAGGGCCTTATGCATGCAAGGCAAGCGCTCTACCACTGAGCCACCTTCCCAGCCCCGGGGTTACCATTTCTTAAGCCAGGTACTGAGTACAATTCTTTGTCACCCCTTCACTCTCCCTCAGTTTTCCCCTCCTAACGCTGCCCACAAGTTACATAGGTCAGTTTCAAATTGTGTATACTGAATAATATGGTTGCATTTGTTCACCCTACCTCCCTCCCTTTCTGTGCCCCTTGCTGTCTCCTAAAAGAAAAAAAAAAGTAAAAACAAGTACCACAGCTGGGCGCTAGTGGCGCACGCCTTTAATCTTAGCTATTTAGGAGGCTGAAATTTGAGGATCATGGTTCAAAGTCAGCCCAAGCAGTAAATTCTATGAGACTCTCATCTTCAATTAACCACCAGAAAACTGGAAGTAGAATTGTGGCTTAAAGTGTATAGCATTAGCCTTGAGCAAAAGGAGCTCAAATTGCCTAGGTCCCAAGTACGAGCCCCATGACTGACAAAAAACAAACACCATCACCTCCACCAACGACAAAAAAACCCATGTTATGGGCCTCCAATTCTAAGGAATGGCTGCCTGAAGCTGCAAACTCAGAGCCTAGTGTCTTCGTTACTCTCAGCCTTGAACCTTTCCCACTCTTCAGAAAGGAAAGAGAGGAAAGGAAGCCCTAGGGTCTAAAAGAGTTGGAAAGTTCCAACTTTAGCTTTGCCTTGGACTATATATTATACTTTGAGTCACTCAAAAAAATTAAGCCCTGGGGCTGGGAAGGTGGCTCAGTGGTAGAGCGCTTGCCTTGCAAGCCTGAGGCCCTGGTTCGATTCCTCAGCACCACATAAGCAAAAAGAAAAAAGCTGGAAGTGGCGCTGTGGCTCAAGTGGTAGAGCGCTAGCCTTGAGCTGAAGAGCTGAGGGACAGCGCCCAGGCCCAGAGTTCAAGCCCCACGACCGGACCCAAAAAAAAAAAAAAAAAAAAATTAAGCCTTGGAGTAATTGAAAAACAATAATTAAGAAGGATACAATACTGTTTGCTTTGCTTTCAGTATTTATTGGTTTCTGCTTATTTTTTATTATCTAAACACCTTGCACTTATTCATAATTTTATATTATTTCTTATGTATTTGTATTTCAAATTTAATTATACATTCAGTATATATTATATATTCAGTATATAGAACACTATTTTATAACCTTCCATTTTGTCATTTTGTTCATGCCTGTAATCCTAGCTACTCAGGAGGCTGAGTTCAAAGTCAGTCTAACCAGGAAAGACCATGGAGACTCTTATTTCCAATTAATCAGCAAAAAAGTGGAAGTAGAGCTTTGGTTCAAGTGTTAGGGCCCTATCCCTGAGCAAAAAACAAAAAAGCTCAGGGACAGCAACCTGATTTCAAGCTTCAGAGATGGTACACACACGTACACACACACACACACACACACACACACACACAGGAGATAGAGAAAAAAGAGAGGGAGAGAGGGAGAAAGGGAGAAAGGGAGAGGGGAGGGAGAGGGAGGAGAGAAAACATCAATTTCTAACCATTGCTGAAATAAAATCAGAAGCTCATTTATTCCTTGATCTTTGTTGGAGGAGCTTATAAATGCACTGCATCATTCAGCTGCTTAGGTAGGCTCTTAAGAGCAGTTAATGTTTCTCTTATACCACATACCAGCACAACTAAGCTATTAACAGGAGCTACTCAGAATCCTTTTTTCTAAAGCAGTGGGGTAACAATGTTAGGTATACCCTAAAAAGATGGCTCTATTTAGCATTGTAGAACTAGAATAAGTCAAGTGTCACAGGAAGATCATTCCTCTATTTTTGAGAAATGTTTCTTTTTCTCCTTTGAAATCCCTCCATATAAGGTACTTTAAGAGGGCTGGGAAGGTGGCTCAGTGGTAGAGCGCTTGCCTTGCATGCCTGAGGCCCTGGGTTCGATTCCTCAGCACCACATAAGCAAAAAGAAGAAAGCCGGAAGTGGCGCTGTGGCTCAAGTGGTAGAGCACTAGCCTTGAGCTGAAAAGCTGAGGGACAGCGCCCAAGCCCAGAGTTCAGGCCCCACGACCGGACCACCCCCCCCCCCCCAAAAAAAAAAGGCACTTTGAGAGAAAAATCCTTTATATTCAGGAGCATGCCAAACATAGTGGTATATGTCTCTAATTCCAGCACTTGTAGGCTGAGGGAGGAGGACCATAAGTTTGAGGTTAGCCTGGGCTACACAGTAACTGTCTCAAAAATTAAGATAAGATGAAACATTTCACAAGTATATAAGCTAAATCACAGCAAATTGTCAGAACCTGGCTAGGGCAAACCCATGTAGAAAACCCAGTAAATGAACTAAAAATAGAACCTGACTCCAACTTTATAAGATAAGAATATTTCTCTTTTTCTATTTCTGAGACGTTAATGCCTTCCAGCTTCCAGCCTAATATGAACTACTTTGGTAAGAATGGGGAAGGAAGAACATTGGGCTTACCCATTTTCTTAGGCAACAGGTAGACATCCTGTTTATAGCGACCCTCAGGAGCATTGTAAAGTTCTATCAAGGCGAGAGCCTAGAAAAACAAAGACATGGATGCTGATACACCATTCACAGCAGCCCTACCCTGTCAAGGGGCACCCAACTGGTAAGGACCCTGGCAAGACCACTCTGGAGGGCTTACCTGAGTAGTAGCAGTGATTGAAAGCACAAATGTAGGCACTGTGGAGCAACTTAGGTTCAGCAGACGGCCCTAGTGATTAAAGATTAAGATACAAAAGGATTAGGACATTTGCTGGGACTTTGGTGAATGAGGGAAGACCATGGCTGCTGTTTTCAAAACCATCAGCAAGTAACATTGCTAGACAAGTGAAGATGTTCAATAACTACGACTTACATTTATCACATTCTTGTGTGTGTGTGTGTGCGTGTGTGAGTCTTGGAGCTTTTGAACTCAGGGCTTGGATACTATCTCTGAGTTTTTTTTGCTCAAGGTTAGCACTCTACCACTTGAGCCACAGTTCCACTTCCAGCTTTTTGTCTTATCAACTTCCCTTACCAAGGCTCATTTTGCACCTCAATCCTCAGATCTTAGCTTCCTGAGTCGTTAGGATTACAGGTGTGGCCCACCATGAACACATAGATTTTTTCTGGGGTGGGGGGGTGGGGGGGTCGGTTGTAGAGCTTGAACTCTGGCCCTGGGTGCTGTCCCTCAGCTCTTCAGCTCAAGGTGAACACTCTACCACTTGAGCCACAGCGCTGCTTCCTGTTTTCTGGTGGTTAATTGGAGATAAGAGTCTCATGGGTTTTCCTGCCTGGGCTTCTTTTGAACCATGATCCTCACATCTCAGCTTCCTGAGTAGCTAGGATTACAAGCGTGAGCCACCGGCGCCTGGCCACACAGCTTATTTTTTTTTTTTTAACTTTTGTCTAAGATTTATTTTTAACTAATACATAAAAACAAAAATGGTGTCATGTAATATTTCAGTGCATGCTAAGGCGGAAAGACTGTAAGTTTGAGGCCAGCCTGGGCTACCCAGCAAGACTGACTTAGGGGAAAAAAAAGGAAAGTAAACACTAGAACACAGTAAAGCCACCAGCACAACCATGCTCATAGCAGCACTATTCGCCATAGCCAAGGTATGGAATTAGCCTAGATGCCCCTCAGTGGATTAACAGATCAAGAGAACATGGTATACCAGATTTCTGTGACTCACAATCCTAACTCAGGAGGCTGATGTAAGGATTGTGTTTGGAAGTCAGCCTGTGCAGGAAATTACCACCAAAAAGCCAGAAGTGGAGCTGTGGCTCAATGCTCTAGCCTTGAGTAAAAAAGCCCAGAGACAGCAGCCAGGCCTTAAGCCTTAAGTTCAAGCCCCAGGACTGGTACCAAAAATGAATGAATGAATGAATGAAAGAAAGAAGGAAGGAGAGAGAGAAAAAGTAAGAAAGAGAAAGAGAGAAAGAAAATAAGAAAGAAAGAGAAAAGAAAGGAAGGAAGAAAGAAAAGATAGTGGCTTAGTGGTAGAGTGCTTGCTTAGCATGAATGAAGCCCTGGGTTTGATTCCTCAGTACCACATAAACGGAAAAAGCGGGAAGTGGTGGTGTGGCTTAAGTGGTAGAGTGCTAGCCTTGAGCAAAAGCAAGCTCAGGGACAGTGCCTAGGCTCTGAGTTCAAGCCCCAGGACTGGCAAAAAAAAAAGACAACATGGTATATATACATAATGGAATTTTATTCGTCCATTAGAAAGAATGATATTGCATCACTTGCAAAGAAAGGGAAGGACCTGAGAAAAAAATTATGTTAATGGTGAAGTTAGGGGCTGGGAAGGTGGCTCAGTGGTAGAGCGCTTGCCTTGCATGCATGAGGCCCTGGGTTCGATTCTTCAGCACCACATAAGCAGAAAAAAAAAAGCTGGAAGTGGCGCTGTGGCTCAAGTGGTAGAGCACTAGCCTTGAGCTGAAGAGCTGAGGGACAGCGCCCAGGCCCCGAGTTCAGGCCTCACGACTGGATGCGCCACCCCCCCCCCCAAAAAAAAAAAAAAAAAAGTGAAGTTAGGCTCAGAGAGAGACAAAGGCTGCATGTTTCCTCTGTTATGTGAAAGCTAAGAATTAGTGTATATAAATATTAAGGTAAAATAGCCAGGCGCCAGTGGCTCACGCCTGTAATCCTAGCTACTCAGGAGGCTGAGATTTGAGGATCAGGGTTCAAAGCCAGCCCGGGCAAGAAAGTCTGTGAGACTCTTATCTCCAATAAACCACTAGAAAACTGGAAGTGACGCTGTGGCTCAAGCAGTAGAGCGCTCGCCTTGAGCTGAAGAGCACAAGGACAGCGCCCAAGCCCAGAGTTCAAGCCCCACAACAGACCAAAAAAAAAAAAAAATTTAGGTAAATATCCTGGATGGTAGGCAAGTGTATACAATGTATTAACAGAAATATGATAGATTCAGGGGAAAACTAAAAAAGTCTAATTCCTTAGAAAGGAAAAATCATAGTTCAACAAAATAAACACCAAGGAACAGGTACTTGAAAATGGTGGGGAAGGATCAAGGGGAGGGGTAGATGAATAAAGAGAAATGGGGAGAATGCCATCAAAATTCAATATACATCCTACAAAATTAAGAGTGGGTTGGGAGAGATGGGTGAGGATGTTGAAAGGGGTGACAGTCAGTGATCAAGATGCACTGTACTCATAAACTGCTTTGTTGAAGGTTAACTCCTTTGTACAATCACTTTAAGATAATTAAGTATTTCTAAAAATATGGTAAAAACAAACCCATCTGGTTCCTCCAACATTTATGATTTCTTTATTCAAAATCCAGAACTTAACTGTTTATCTGTAGTCACTGTATTATATAATAATATATCCAAATTTCTTGTTCCTGAGTAACTTTAGTATCCACTGATGAAGCTCTTTTTTTTTTGTTTTTTTTGGCGGGGGGGTACAGTCATGGGGCTTGAACTCTGGGCCTGCGTGCTGTCCCTCAGCTCTTCAGCTCAAGGCTAGCACTCTTCCACTTGAGCCTCAGCACCACTTCCGGCTATTTTTTTTCTGCTTATGTGGTGCTGAGGAATCGAACCCAGGGCCTCAGGCATGCAAGGCAAGTGTTCTACCACTGAGCCACCTTCCCAGCCCCTGATGAAGCTCTTGCACTCCTCTCCCTTACCTCACTAGTCTTGGCCTCTAGTGAACACCAACTGATTCCACTCTCAACTTCCAAGAGGTTGATTTTTTTTTTTAGATTCCACATATAAGTAACACACTTCTTGTCCTTTTGTGCCTGGCTTAATTTCACTTAACATAATGATTTCCAGTTCCATCCGTGTTGTTGCAAATTAAAGTATTTCATTTTTTTGTGGCTAAATAACATTCTGTTATGTATGTGTACCACATTTTCTTTGTGCATTTATCAGCTAAAGGCTAATTAAGTTGGTTCAATTTTTTGGCTTTTGTGAATAGCACTGCAGTAAACAAGGGAATACGAATACTTTTTCTAATACTGATTAGATTTTCTTTGGATATATACTCATGAGTGGGAATGCTGATCACATGGCAGTTGCTTTTAATTTTTTGATGAACAGTTTTTCATAATGGCTATATTAATTTAAATCCCACCAAGATACAAGGGCTCCTGCCCTCTATATACTTAAGAGTACTTGTTATCTTTGGTCTTTTTCTGTTCTTTTTTTGGGGGGCCTGAGGCCAGGACTTGGACTTGGTACCTGTCACTTTCACTCATTGACTAGAACTCTAACAATTGAGCCATGCCTCCAACCCATCTTTTGTCTTTTGATAGTACTCGTTTTTACTAGAATGAGTGATATCCCATTGTGGTTTAATTTCCATTTTCCTGATAATTAGCGATGTTGAATATTTTACCTATAGGTTGGCCATTTGTATGTCTTCTTTAGAATTAACTAACCTTTAAGTGAAAACCACTGAAAGTGCTGGGAATTTTTTTTTTTTTGGTCGGTCATGGGGCTTGAACTCGGCCTGGGCGCTGTCCCTGAGCTTTTCAGCTCAAGGCAAGTGTGGCTATACTTGAGCCATACTGTCACTTCTGATTTTCTGGTGGTTTATTGGAGATAAGAGTCTCACAGACTTTTCCTGCCTGGCCTGGCTTCAAACTGTGATCCTCAGATCTCAGTCTTATGAGTAGCTAGGATTATAGGTATAAGCCACTAGTGCCCAGCTAACATTCAGTTTTTCAATGTAAAAAAGACAAGAAAACTGCCAGGTGGTGGCTCACACCTGAATCCTAGCTACTTAGGAGGCCGAGATCTGAGGGCACCAGTGGCTCACACCTATAATCCTAGCTACTCAGGAGGCTGAGATACGAGGATCAAGGTTCAAAGCCAGCCCTGGCGGGAAAGTCCGTGAGACTTTTATCTCCAATAAACCACTAGAAAACCAGAAGTGGCACTGTGGCTCAAGTGGCAGAACACTTGCCTTGAGCTGAAGAGTGCAGGGACAGTGCCTAGGCCCAGAGTTCAAGCCCCATGACTGACCAAAAAAAAAAAAAAAAGACAAGAAAACTGATTGAAAATCGAAACCCAGGAGAATTATTATTATTATTGCCATTGTTATTTTGGAACCTGGCCCTCAGTTCACAGTAAGAACAGGGTGCATTATAGTAATAAGGAATCTAAGACTGGGGAAGAGGCATGGGTCAAAAACTGGTATAAATGGATACAAGGAAAAAATGTAGAATAAGCATGAGCTAGAAGAAGCCAGAATGGGCATTCTCAATCAAGTAACCAATTTATACTACATATCTGGCTCACTTCAGGGGTGTGGGCATGCAGTAATAAGGACTCTATCATCAAAGATGTGGCTTTTCCAGAGCTTGCTCCAGATAGGTCTGAGTTACAGAATACCTACACTTTGTGCTTACTGATTAAATCATCCCACAAATCACATTATCTCTTTGAAAGCACCGCTCAAAGTGGTACTGGTTTTATCTGTTAATTCTTTCTACAGTAATAAGTCATTATCTGATTCAACCTGAAGAGTGACATAGAGAGACAGGATAATTGGTGAAAAGTGGGGAACAAAAATAGTTTCTTAATTGCTGAATGAAACAACCTTTCACAATTAGAAGTAAAAATCCATGGGTAAGCAGTTAAAAGTTATGCATAAGAGTAACACTTGCAAGAATAAGAGAACATGGGGAGAGGAGCTGGGTGCTGCAGTCTCTCCTGTGTGAGTCTCTCTGGCCAGCCTCAGCCTTACCTCTGCCAACAGTACTATCCTTTTGCCATCAGGCCATATCACATGGTCAACTTGGGACCTCACTCGCTCCCAGGTCAGTTCTGGTGTCCGCAGACTTGCCTGGAACACACATATCAAGAACATCATTAGCATGGCATGTCCCAAATCAGGGGCAGAAAGGTGTCGAAGGGAGCCATTTCAAATAGCAAGTCGAAAGGAGCAACCAACATGCCAGATGGAGAATACCTGTCCTGAGTTGGTTAGGACTGTTCCATTTCAGGGGATTTAATCTTAGGCCCAGCCAGGGAGGGATCACTCGGGATGTCATTCCACAACATATACTGTCCGCCCACTCTCTGCTGAGCACAGTAAAAGGTGCTATGAGAAATACACAAGAAACCAAAGGCATGGTTTCTGCTTTCAAAAAGCTCACACTTTAGTTGGGGACACAAAACAATACATATGTGAGAGAAAAATACTTACAAAGCAACATGCAACCAGTGCAAGCTAATGTAGTGCAAACTGAGTATGTAAGTGCTAAAGAGACACAGAAAACAGGATCAGAGCTAAGTGAGATTAGCTGGCGAAGGCTGCATGTCCTAAACACAGCATGCTGGGCCCCAAGGTTCAGCCCGCAGGTCCCAATGTCCCACGTGCCACCTTTTCAATAATGGTGGTTTACTCTAAAGTTACTGAAGCTTTGTGACCTAAGTGCAAACGTGAGGTAGCCTTGAAAGGAATGCTTAATGACAGAATAAAGCTCCCAATGGCTCACCCTCCTTCCATTTCTGTATATTGTACATTCAGAGGACAAGAGAAAAAAAATGTTAAGTTTATTAACAGCAACAATCAAGTAACAGTCACAGGGTGTAGACAACTATTTCCTTTCCTTCTTCCAATAAGCTATGCCTGTCATATTCCAAAACCGACCACTGATTAAAATTTAAAGAAATCAAATACTTTTAGTATATAATAGCATTACATATCATAGTCTAGGTATCATAGTAAAGGATATGAATATAGATAAAGATTGTGGATTCCTCTAATAGAGGAAAGGAACAGGATTTTCTTTTCCTTTTTGTACCTCCAAGTTCTATCTAAACATACAATGGGGTATTCAATTACTGTTTAGAAATTCATATACCCTGAGAAAGTAATGAGGATAAAGACAGACATATAATTATACATCAGTATATTCAGAACTGTGTTCATATTCTGGATCTTTTCTATGTTATGTAGATAAGAAACAAAATTTCTTTTTCTTTTGTATTTGGTTATAGGAGTTTGAACCCACAGCCTCATACTGCCTGCTAGACACGCAGAACCCAGCCTCTAGTGCTTTCTTGTACTGGCTATTTTTTTTATTTTTATTTTTTTGGTCGGTCATGGAGCCTGAACACTGGGCCTGGGTGCTGACCTTGAGCTCCTCAGCTCAAGGCTAGCACTGTACCATTTGAGCCACAGTGCGACTTCTGGCTTTTTCTGCTTATGTGGTGTTGAGGAATCGAACCCAGGGCCTCATGCATGCAAGGCAAGCATTCTACCACTGAGCCACTTTGCCAGCCCTGTACTTAAAGATAGGTTCTCAGTTCTATTTGGGCATGTACCTAGACCTTGATCTACCTATTTCAGGCTTCCTATTGTGGGTAGGATTACAGGCATAAGCCACTGATGCTCAGCTAACACTTTTATGTAGTGGTTCAGTCTTTCAAGAGAGCTATTTGGCAGTACATAGTAAATTTTCTTAATGGGCTGGGTGCCGGTGACTCACATCTGTAATTCTATCTACTAAGGACGGCTGAGATCTGATGATCATGGCTCAAAGCCAGCCCAGGCAGGAAAGTCCAAGAGACTTCCATTTCCAATTAACTAACAAGAAGCCAGAAGTGGAAATGTGGTTCAACTGGTGGAGTATTAGCCTTGAGCAAAAAGAGATCAGGAACAGTACCAAGGTCCAAAGTTCAAGCTCCAGGACTGGTACCATGCCTCCCAATGTTTTTTAAAGGAACTTAGTCTTTAACCTATTAATTTTACTTCTAGAACTCCTATAGAAATGCTTCTTAAAGTTCAGAAATGTAAGTGCTCATAAATGTTCACTCTAACACTATTTATAATAACAAAAGTGTAATTTGATAAGGAAATGGTATATAAATCAGAATAGCTCAATATCATGGATTATTATACAACTTTTTTTTAAACAGGTACTGAAACTTGAACTCAGGTTTTATGCTTTTGCTTATCTTTTTTGCTCAAGCCTGTTGCTCTACCATTTAAGCCATACTTTCATGCCTGATTTTTTTGGTGATTAATTGGTCTCATGGACACTTTTCTGCCCAGGCTGGCTTCAAATCTTAATCCTTAGATATCAATTTCCTGAGTAGCTAGAATTATAAGTATGAGCCACTGGCTCCAGACTTGCTATGCAACTTTTAACAAAATAAGTAGAGTCTTGGGATGCAGAATGTACAACACTGTCCTAGCATATACAAGATTCTGGATTTGATTTCCACCATCACTAAAGGAGAGGGGGAATAACCCCCTTATAAATAAACACAGTGAATAGAATTAAAAAGGGATTTAAGCAAATGGACTATTTGGGGAAGATAAAGACACAGGTAAATCCTTTAGCCTTTGGCAATAGGACACAGAGGGAAATAGTCACTCCCTGGCAACACTGCAGTTTTTTTGAACTGGGTTTACCAACTGCTTCAGGTTTTTAAATGTTTCATACCCTTATCTTCCAGAGCACAAGCAATCTTGGTGACTGGGAGCAAAGAGCTGACAACATGATGATCAATCTCCTGTCTTAGGAAGTAATCTTTAAGAAGAAAGATATAGTGGAATCAAGAAACATAAGAAAAGATCAATGATGAGTACAGAAAGTTTACCTGTGCTCTTGAATGGTAGGTAAGAAATCTTGAAGGTCAGTGAGAAAAGGGAGTTGAAAGAAAAACCTGGTTAATTTATCTCTGTCTAGGGAGTTGCAATGATTACCTGATTATGAGAAAGAAATACGTCCTATCCGATGGCTGGCAACTGGGGGATGGTGGTATAGCTCAGTGGCAGGGCATATGCTTAGCATGTATGAGGCCCTGGGTTTAACCCCCTAGCACCAGTACTACTATGCCAAAATAGAATGCTGTGGAATTATAACCATTAAGCATTCTACCAGGTAAAGGTTTTCCTAGGCAGACTATAGTCCCAGACCAGGTGTGTACTGAACTGTAAGTTGGCCAGTTATTATGCTTGCAAAATTGATTTTATATGAGTGAGAACAGGACACAGTTTTTTTTTTCCAGGTAGCATATCTGTGGTTTCATAGAACCAATAGCCAAAATCATTCTCTGGCTAGAAACTTTTAAAGTACAATGGCTTACTAAAATGAACTGAGATACTCATAATCCCACAAGTCTTCTATGCAGGAAAGAAAGCATGTAACAAGAGATAAAAGGCAGTGAAACTCAGGTTCCCTGGGTATTCACAGTGCTAATATTTCTCAGAAAAAAAAAATGCAGCTTTTTAAATGGCTAACTCTTTTCATGAACTATTTCTCCTAAAAATTAGCAGGTAGTGTATCATGGACTAGATAAAATGATAAATCCTTACACAAACTAATTTTTTTCATTATCAGCATTTATTTCAATGTGCACCATGACAGTTTTCCCTCTCAGGAATTTTTTGTTGAATTTTATTGAAATCCCTAAATTTTTTGATTATTGAAAATATCCAGATAAATACTGAATCATTTTCCCACACAGTATCACTAAGCTAATATATACTGAATTTCCTCTCTTTTCCTATACCATGAATCCAGTTCATTTAAGCAAATCACTTTGGTCACATTGTATTACTTCTTATAACCTCCTCTGCTGATCCATCTAAGACCAGGCACTTTCTTTGTCCTGGGTAATACTGACAGCTTCTTGAGGTATCTATTCCTGTTTAAGCTCCAGAACTGTTTTCTTTATACACAAGTCAGACTAATTTTTTCTGCCAGCCCTGGGGTGGCTTGAGCTTCTGGGCCTAGGCACTGCCCCGAGCTTCTTTGTGCTTACGGGTGGCACTCTACCACTTGAGCCACAGTGCCATTTCTGGCTTTTTTTTAAGTAGTTTACTGGAGATAAAAGACTCACAGACTTTCCTGCCTGGGCTGGCTACGAACCACAATCCTCAGATCTCAGCCTCCTGAGTAGCTAGGATTAGGTGTGAGCCACCAGTACCCAGCTGTAATTTTTTTTTTTTACAAACTTTAAGTCACATATATATTTCGTCAGTCATTTGTTCATAACCATCGAATGACTTTAGTCCTACTAAGACCAAAATTTCCAAGTCCTTATCATAGCCTGCAAAGCTCCACATAGCTTACCACCTCCTTCAGTGGTTTCTCATCTCATCTCCTTAGCCATTCTGTTCCTGCCACTATGGCTTCTTTTCTGTTTTTCAAACACCTCAAGCAGGTTTCTATCCTAGGGTCTTTTACTCACAATTCTCTGGGTTTTTAAATTTTTATTTATTTTTATTTTTTATCTGCTGCTGGGAATCAAACCCAGGGCCTTACATTTGCTGTTACCACTGAGCTCCACCAAGTTTATCACTCTTTCTGAAGAGAATGCTCACATGACTTGCTCTTTTGTCTCATTCAGTTGTTTCTCCAAAAGCTATGTCCTCAAAGGTATCTTCCTTGACCACTCTAACTAAAATAGTATCCTTGACATTCTCACCTTGCTTTTATTCTTCAATATGATACACTGACAATATTTATTATCTGTTTCCCACACTAGAATACAAACTTTGTGGGAGGAAGAATGTTGTTCACTGCTATTTCTTCAGCCAATTAGTATTTAACAGGAACAGATCAACTATTCAGTATGTATTTGCAAAATGGTGAAAGAAAATTCCGGTTCAATGATCAGTTTGCTATTTCCGTAAGTTTCAGTTGACTTTAACACTGTGACACTATCACCAAAGACTGAAAATTTAACTTTTCAAAAGCCCTCTAAGTATCTCCCTTTAATTTAATTTAATTTAGCCATATACCCTCTGCCATGAAGAATTCAGAGAGAAGTGAGAGATAGCCCTTGGCTCATGTCCCAGCAAATAGGGGCATCTACCTAGAAATACCTGAAAAACTAGGTCTAATCTCAACGTATCAGCCAGTGTGATCCTTTTAGAATAAATCATCTTATTAAAACTAACAGTTGGGCATAGGGGTATACACCTATTATCCCAGCACTTTGGAGGCTGAGATAGGATATATCTGAGTTCAAGGCCAGCCTCAGCAAGACCCTGTTGGAAAACCAACCAACCAGCCAAACAACCAAATTGAAATCAGAGTGTTACAACCTTTACAACAGCACTCTGTTTCTCTCAGAATATTATGAGGAGTTCTTTGGGCAGGCTGAGAGGTCTTACAAGACCCGGCCTATTATCTCTCTGGCCTCATCTTTCATTCTTATCCATCCTAAGCTCTACACTGGCCTATTTTTTCCTTTAACAGAAAAAGCATTTTCTTGCTTCAGGGCAGGTGTATCCTTCATTTCATGTGTACTGGCTGTTTCTCTGCTTAAAATGTCCCTCACCTAAAAATCTCCACTGTTAACTCCTCCAAGTTTGCTCAAACATTACTTTCCTAATGAGGCTCACAGCTTGATCCTTCTATTTAAAGTCATAACCCAGTGCCTGGTGCCCTTTATTGAACTCTACTGTCAATATGTCAACTGATCCTTATCTGGCAATGCTGAAGCTCAATCAGAGCAGTCCTCAGTGAAGAGGAAATCATGCTATAGTTCAGCCAGTTACCCAGAGAGGAAGACAACTGTACCATAAAATCATCACAAAAACTTAAAGTCAGAGACCAAGTCATACTGAGAGATACTTGGTATGTCTGAAAAGATATAAATAACACTTGCCACTGGATTGATCTGTGATACCTACAGACCCAACTACTATGTTTGGAAAATACATTTAGGGAGATCAAGTTCAATAAAAGAGAAATAGGAAAGAAGAAAACATAGTATTTGATAGACACATTCTTGGACAACTGTATTAGTTGTCCTAGCTCACATATCTTTCTCCCTTGACTCTTTCCATGGACTAACCTATTTATCTCATCTTTATGTAAATTCAAATATTCTCATAATACTGACTGCTATTCTGACTCATGTTCATTATATCTTGTGGTTTTTAGTTTAGCTCTCAATTCTAAACAGAAGGAGATCATAACTTGTAGTATAAGTATCAATTATGAGTGAAAGAAAGCAATCATTTGATTTGTTTTGTTTTGTGGGAAGTGGGGGCTCAAACCTAGGGTCTGGTCTATGCTAAGCAAGCTGGTACTATATTAAGACAATCTTTGAAATGATTTAAACTGAGATACACTAAAATATACTATATGTGATCAACTGTGCTAGGACAGTCACGTTTAGGATGGCTGATGACCTTAATCAGTTTTTTGTTTTTGTTTTTTTTCTTGCAAAGGAGAGAAAAAAACATTGAAAATGTCTCAATAATGACCAATAATGATCTTACCACGTCGATCTCCGTGTTGGAATGTCCCATATTACAAACAATGCAGCTATTCTTCATTCGGTCCAAATGCTCCCTGGTTACCACATTCTTATTACCTTAAAAAAAGACAGCCACATGTAAAGGAATGACATTGGACCTCTACCTCATACAATATATATAAAATAAGCTCCAAATAGGTCATACACCTAGCTATAAGAATTAAAACTATAGAGCTCTTAAAAGAACACTGGAGTAGATCTTTGTGACCTTGAGTCAGGCAACCATTTACTTAGCTGTAAGTATGCTTAGATATGCTTAAGGTTAAGCTGGGCACCAGTGGCTCACCTGTAATCCTAGCTACTCAAGAGCTGAGATCCATTAGACTCTAATCTCCAATAAACCACTCAGAAAACTGGAAGTGGAGCAGTGGCTCAAGTGGTAGAGTGCCAGCCTTGAGCTGAAGAGCTGAAGGACAGCATTCAGGCCCAGAATTCAAGCCCCATGATCGACAAAAAATAGTAAGTGTGTGTGTGTGTGTGTGTGCGTGTGTGCATGCATGCTTAAGGTTAAGCATAGCAACAAAAGAAATAGATACACTACACTATTTCGCCTTTTGTATCAGGCACCAGTATCTCACGCCTATAATCCTAGCCACTCAGGATCACAGTTCAAAGCCAGCCCAGTCAGGAAAGTCCATGAAACTCTTATCTCTAATTAATAAAAATAAATAATAAAATAATAAAAAAAAGTAGATTTGTGGTTCATGTTGTAGAGTGCTAACCTTGAGCAAAAAAGTTCCGGGACAGTGCCCAGGCCTTGAGTTCAAGTCTCAGGAGCTCGAACACACACAAAAAGAAAAAAAGATTACTGCGGAGAAAACTAACCTTGACTATGGGCAGAAACACCTTATATGCTAAAGGCCCAGACAGAGAAAAAGAGAAAAAGAGAAAGCTGACTCTTCAGGCTTGCCTCTCGTGTTTCCTGGCTGCCAGGATGTGTGAGCCACTTTGCTCTGCAAAGTTTTCTAACCATGATGGACTGAAATATCAGAAACTGTGAGCAAAACAAATCTTTCCTTCCTTAAGTCACTTGTAAGATATTTTGTCACAGCAATGTAAAGTCTCACTATCACATTCCATGAAATCATTTGCAAATGCCATCCCATTTAATGACACAAGCATACCTGTACAGGTAATCACTATGTCCACTTGTCGAATAACCTCATTTAATTTCACCAGTCGAAATCCATCCATACTGTAGAAATAAAACACAATCATAAAGAAATATGTAGTACAATAAAGAGGCATGTGGAGAGTCTTTTGCTATGGAACGTCAAAAGCTACTACCAAGTTTCTCTAGTACAAAGTGATTGAGATAGCTCAGTTTTTTGTATTAGTGAAACCATTTCCTTAGTTTCATATGAGAGAAATGAAGGGTTCCTTCATATCATTGGAACGTGTTTCTTACTCATTCTAGGGAACCAAAGTTACCATATGATTTACCAAACAAATTTCTAAAAAGTGCCACTTAGCCATTGGGTCTGCACTCCTAAAATTACTACTGGATCTCCTGAATGTCAGAGCAAAAAATCTTTCTTAAACTCTTAAATGACTTGACTTCTGTTACATTAAACATTGTTTTTCAAAATGTACATTTGAGCTTCATGATAACATTTTTCTCCTGATTTTTCTCAAACTGCCCTAGTGGTGCTAGGGGTCAAACCCAGGACCTTGTGCATGCCAGGCAAGTACACTTCCACTGAGTGTATCCCCAGCCCTTTCCTACTTTACTCTGTAGGGTTCTTCCCTAGACTCTTGTCTAGTCTTTCAGTACATTCACATTCTAACCTTGATTATCAATTCTTTCTTTCTTTCTTTCTTTCTTTCTTGCTTTCTCTCTCTCTCTCTCTCTCTCTCTCTCTCTCTCTCTCTTTCTCTATCTCTTTCTCTCTCTCTCTCTCCCTCCCTCCCTCCCTCCCTCCCTTCTTTCTCTTTCTTTCAACTATTTTTGCCAGGTACTGGTGGCTCACACCTATAATCCTAGCTACTCAGGAGGCTGAGATCTGAGGATCCTAGTTCAAAGCCAGCCCGGACAGGAAACTCCGTGAGACTCTTATCTCCAATATATCACCAAAAAACTGCAAGTGGTAGAGCGCTAGCCTTGAGCTGAAGAGCTCAGGGACAGCGCCAAGGCCCAGAATTCAAGCCCCACAACTGACAGAAAAAAAAAAATCTTTTAAGTAGTTATGCAAAGGAGTTGACATTTAACAAAATTCTACTTTCTTAATTCCTTAAAAATTGCTTCAATGGGTTCCTTCTCTATACAGCTGGCCTTGTATAAGTTGGGGTATTATTAATTGTTAGCTAGATTACTTCGGTAACTTTTGTCCCAATTTCATTTACCTCTAGGTTTATATCTTTCAAAATAATTTTTTGAAATGTTTTCTCTAAATTCAATTGGGAACTATCAGTTCCATCCTCTGTGAGATTGTCTGTCTTTGGTGTAAGACCTAAATACTTATATTTGCAAATGATTCCTAATTCTATTTTTTTGTTGGTCATGGGGCTTGAACTCTGGGCTTAGGTGCCGTTCCTGGGCTCTTCAGCTCAAGGCGAGCGCTCTACAGCTTTACCCACAGCTCCATTTCTAGTTTTCTAGTGGTTTATTGGAGGTAAGAGTCTCACAGACTTTCCTGCCTGGGCTGGTTTTGAACCATGATTCTCAGATCTCAGCCTCTTGAGTAGCCAGGATTACAGGCGTGAGCCACTGGTGCCTGGCCTCAAATATTATAGTCCCAAATCTATCCTATCTGCCAGCAACATTCAAATATTTGCAGCTTCTTAAATATGTGTGCTAGCCTCTTTGAAGATTCTGCACTTGTTCCTTGCACCTGGCACATACTTTTAAACTAAGGAAACATTTGTAGAAGTTTTAAGACAGCTTTACTAACACCTCTGTCTACCTCTGTTCTTTAAGACATTTCTTCTTTGTGTGCCTGTAGAAGTATATGCCATTTACCTCAAAGACAGTGGTTACTACATTATACAGTGGTTATTTATTTCTGTTCTCCTAAAAGCAAGGCCTTGTCTCAGTCATCTATTAAGCTTTTTTGTGCTAGTTTAAGGCTTGAAATCTGGGCCTTGTGCTTGTTTGGTTGGTGCTCTACTACTTGAGTCATGACTAACAGACATTTTTGCCTGGGCTGGCTTAAAACTGCAATCCTTCCAGATCTCAGCCTTGTGAGTAACTAAGACTGGAGTTGTGAGCCACCAGTTCGTAGCCTCAACAATTTAATCATATTCATTATTAGCACATAGAATAGTACATAGTCACACACATAAGTTCTCAATTTATGGGTTTGTAATAACCTCACCCATAGTGCAATCAGTATGATGTTCAGGTTTCTGTAATGAAACTTGAGGGTACTAGTAGGGTGTTGGTTCCCCTCATATGAAGCCTTGACTCAGGTAAAACCAGCAATTCTGTTCGGAAACCTTTTGTGTTTATGGCTAGATGTATGAGGACTGGTAAGACAGGGAGAAAGTGTACACTTTCAGGTCATCTTTATTCTTTCGGGGAACCTTTGGAGGATTGCTTTGAAGACTGTGTATATAGGATACAGACACACGTGGACTGCAGTAGTTTATAGCAACAGCGACATTTCCCATTCTGCTGAGAATGGAAAGATAATTTTAACAATAGCTACCACGTAATAAGAATCTATTTTGTGACAGAAGCTCTGAACTTTACATATTTATTACATAATACATAATAATACATAATAAAAAGCATTATTATCTTACTTAACTCTCACAACCCTCTGAAGAATGATTATCTACATTTTAAAAATGAAACAGGGGGACTGGGAAGTTGGCTCAGTGGTAAAGCGCTTGCCTTGCATGCCTGAGGCCCTGGGTTCGATTCCTCAGCACCACATAAGCAAAAAGAAAAAAGCCGGAAGTGGCGCTGTGGCTCAAGTGGTAGAGCGCTAGCCTTGAGCTGAAGAGCTGAGGGACAGCACCCAGGCCCAGAGTACAGGCCCCGCGACCGGACCCAAAAAAAAAATAAATAAATAAATAAAATAAAAATGAAACAGGAACTATTCTTTTTTAACTTTTATCTCTGGCATCATGTGAAACTTAAAAATCATAAGAACAATACAAACATATCCCTATATATTCTTCACTCAAGACTTAGCAGATTTTAGCCAGTTATCAGTGTAATTGTGCATGCCTATAATCCCAGAACTGGAGGGGCTATAGCAAGAAGAGTGCAAGTTCAGAGCTGGTCTGAGCTACCTAGTAAAACCTTGTCTCAAATATGCAAAACAAAAAAAGCTGGCAGATTTTACCCTTAATTTGAATTTGATGCTTCCTCATGTTTAGATTCAAATCATACATTTTTGGGAATAAGGCCACAACAAAAGGGTTCTTTTCCATGTAACATATCAGAAACCACAGGACTCTAGCCTATTTTTTTCTTCTTCTTCCTCTTCCTACTTTCCCTTTCCCTTCCTCTCCTTTCTCCTCCTCCTTCTTCATGCTGAGGATTGGTATATGCTCTACCATTTAGCTATACCCCTAACACTCTTCCTTTTCTTCTTCTGATCTTTCTTTCTTTCCCTTTTCAAAATGGCAGGTATTTCATTTAGATATTTGGAGACTCAAAACACCCCCAATTACTATTTGTATAGTAATTCCAAATTTTAGCTTCTCTGAGAGCAGATCTCTGTGACATTTGAAAGACACAAGCTGAGAATTATGGCAGCCTCTTCAGGGTAGAGTCCTTCTCAGACGCAGTGTGGCATAACCCATGCCAGTCTTTGGATGGTATGCAAGAATGTGGTATCAGGGAGGAGGCAGGTCTTCCTGTAAGCTTACCAGGCTTGCAGAGCACAGATGGGGTCGATCTCAGTTACATACACAATGGAACCCATGGCCTTCAGAGCAGCACAGCACCCCTTCCCCACCTGACCACGGAGAGAGCATACAAGAAGCAAAGTCAGTGAGGAAACTGTTCTTAAAACTCCTGGTGATTCTGGGTGCTGGTTGTTCTTAAAACTCCGGGTAATATCGTGTGCCGGGGGCTCATGTCTATAATCCTAGCTACTCCGCAGGCTAAGATCTGAGGACAGCAGTTCAAAGCCAGCCCCAGGCAGGAAAGTTTGTGAGACTCTTATCTCCAATTAACCTCAAGAAAACCAGAGGTGGTGCTGAGGCTCAAGTGATAGAGTGCTAGCCTTGAGCTGAAATGCTCAGGGACAGCACCCAGGCCCAGAGTTCAAGCCCCATGGCTGACAAAAAACAAACAAAAACTCCTGGTAAACTGTAACTTTTCTGTCCCTCAGAGAAACTTCACTGAGCAGATGCATGCTTAGGAAAAGACAAATAAATGTAGTTCATAAACAAATCCCTGGCCCCTCCTTAGCACATTCATATGTATAAGGACACCCACACTCACGATTTATAATCAAAACACAAGCTAAAAGAGCATCACAAATAGTACTGCTAGAACAAGTCAGAAAATCAACAAGAATAAAATGTAAAGGAAAAAGGAGAGGTTGTACTTTCACCAGAGGGCTTCTAAAGTTATTTTTCCTCCATGAAAGTACATATACTCTTAGGTATTTATAGAAAATTTTCGAATATGTAAACCAACACCTTAAGCACCTAAAAACTGAAAAGTTAAACTTACCTCTCCATAGCCACAGACCACCACTTGTTTTCCACCAAACATCATGTCCGTTGTCCTTTTAAGTCTACAGGGAATATAAACAAAACAAATGATTATGTCAGAAAAAAAACCAAAACACCATCTTGTTTTGCTGAAGTTAAATTGAGTCTCTCTGTTTATAGTTTTATTGTTTGTTTTGTGTTACTACTGTGGCTTGAACTCAGGGTCTCTGGCTGTTACTCAGCTTTTTTCACTCAAGACTGGCTCTCTACCACTGACCCTCTACCTTTACTTCTGGATTTTTTTTTTCCTCTTGTTTTGGGGAGATATAGAGTCTCATAGATTAGGCTGGTTTCAAACTGAGATTCTCAGAACTCAGTCTCCTGAGTAGCTAGGATTATAGACACTATTTATGCTAACTAATATTTGTAAATCTTTCTACTAATTTATCTGGTTAATCCCTAAGCTACCGGGGACTTGGTTCTATGGGGAGACAATGGAAACTTTAAGAGGAGGGCCCCAGTGCAAGGTCTTCTAGATCCTGGAGCATGTGCATGAGGGCAGTAGTAGGACCCAGACCCTTATTCTGACTCCCTCTTCAGATCTCAGACATGAGGTAAGCAGATTTACTACATCATGTTCCCCATCCTGATGTGCTACTTTACCATAGACTAAAAAGCAATGGGGTCAACTGACTATAGACTAAAACCACTTAAACTGTGAGCCAAATACAGCCTTTCTTTTCATAAGTTAATATCTCAGATATCTGTTACAGTAACAGAAAGCTAACTAACACAGGGGGCCTTCTTTTTTTTTTTTTTTTTGCCAGTTGTGGGGCCTGAACTCTGGGCCTGGGCACTGTCCCTCAGCTCTTCAGCTCAGGGCTAGAGCTCTACCATTTGAGCCACAGCGCCACTTCTAGCTTTTTCTGCTTATGTGGTGCTGAGGAATCGAACCCAGGGCCTCGTGCATGCAAGGCATGCATTCTACCACTGAGCTACCTTCTCAATCCCACAGGGGGCCTTCTTAACAACAATGAAGGAATGACAACTATGGAAACAGTAATGAAAGAACTCAGTATTTGATACACACTGGTATATATTGTCAGACTTTTAATCATTATAGATCTGAAAAACTAAAATGTCCTTAGGAATTAACTCTACTCACCACAAGAATATGAGCCAGGCACCACTGGCTCCTGCCTATAGGCTAAGATCTAAGGATTAAGATTCAAAGCCAGCCCAGGCAGGAAAGATCATGAGACTCTTATCTCTAATTAATCATCAAAAAGCTGGAGGTAGAGTAATGGTGCAAGTGGTAGAGTACCAGCCTTGAATGAAAAAGCTAAGGAACAGCACTCGGGCTCTGAGTTCAAGCCCCAGTACCAGCACCAAAAAAACAAAGCAAAACAAATCAATTATATGACATGAGACATAACTTGAAACAGGATCACCTTTTCCCAAACCATCTTTATACTGACTTTAGTTGATGACTAATAGGCCTGACAAGATCACAAAGTAAAAATTCTATCAATAGTTATGAGCAAGTCTCATTTCTTAAGTGAAGTAGATTTTCTTATAATAGTGATAGCCACATAGCTCTGGGTTATAAAATACTGGGAGTGATGTGGTAATAGATCCAGGGGTGACTTATGAATCATTTCCAGAAATAACTAAAGCTAAAAAAAAAATAAGAGACTTAACACTTCAAGTTCATCTCAAAGATAACGAACATTACCCATCAAGAATTGATTCTCTGCAGCAGTAGAGGTTGTCAAATTTCTGCTTGGTGACTGAGTCATTGACATTCATGGCTGGAACACATAGTTTCCCGGCTTTGGACAGTTGGTAAAGTCTAGAAGACAAGGAAAGACACATACAACTATGAGACAATACTATCTATTGTTGGTTTATTATCAAAGCCCAGAATATGTTGATGGGGTGGGCATGAGAGCATGAGACATAACTGTTTTCACTCTATTAAGGTAGACGATGAGAATGTGTTTCTACAAGCTATATCCAGCCACAGACATACACATATACAGTCATAGTGTACTCAGAATTTTCTCCCTAAAAATTATTTCATGCTTTCAGTTCTTTAAGAGTGAGTAACAGCAAATAGAAATAATTTGATCAATTTTACTTAAGGAATGACTGCTCATTTGTGAACAGAACACTAAATCCTGGCTATGGGATTGTGTAAGTTCTGTGAAAGCATAGGATTTGGTCTGTTTTGTCTACTGTTAGGTCCCCAGCGCCCACAGTAGCTTCTGGCTCACTACAGAAATTCAATGCATATTTGTTGAATAAACAATTTGTCCAAAAATGATAAGCAGTCATTGCTTACAAAAACTATAAAATCTGGGGCTGGGAAGGTGGCTCAGTGGTAGAGCGCATGCCTTGCATGCCAGAGGCCCTGGGTTCGATTCCTCAGCACCACATAAGCAAAAAGAAAAAAAGCCGGAAGTGGCGCTGTGGCTCAAGTGGTAGAGCGCTAGCCTTGAGCTGAAGAGCTGAGGGACAGTGCCCAGGCCCAGAGTTCAGGCCCCATGACCGGACCCAAAAAAACAAAAACAAACAAACAAAAAAAACTATAAAATCTAAGAACACCATTTGTTCCCCTAGTTGACACTCCCTCAATGTTTTAGCTCAGTTATTTGTGTTAGTAATTAAAAACAAGTGTTCAGGCTCAGATCCGGTCACCTATATGATGTATAGAATGTGATGCTATGTCAAGGCTGCATGAAGAAAGACAGGATACCCATGTCAAATCTTACCTATGAACACCAGTAACACTTTCCTCAACTATGCCCTTGATTTTCTTAAACATGTTGGGATACTTTTTATAAATCCAGTGAGTAAGATCTCCTCCATCATCCAAGATCTGAAATAGTAAGCATCAGTCATGTCATTCATTTTACTGAAGGTTAGGCTTCAGTGCCTTTGGGTCTTGTGTTCTACTTTCTAATTACCAACTTAGATACTTCAAATTTCCCATATGGTTTTGTGAACTGACTTAAAGGCAGAGCTAATACAATAATCTACCAAATCAGTCATTATACTCAAAGGAAAAGATGAGGGATAAGAGGTTAATCCTCATTCTCACAACCAAATGACTCTTTCACATTATACTGTATCCAAATACTTGGTAAGGGGCTGGGAAGGTGGCTCAGTGGTAGAGTGCTTGCTTGCCTTGCATGCATGAGGCCCTGGGTTCGATTCCTCAGCACTACATAAGCAAAAAAAGCTGGAAGTGGTGCTGTGGCTCAAGTGGTAGAGCACTAGCCTTGAGCTGAAGAGCTGAGGGGCAGTGCCTAGACCCAGAGTTCAGGCACCATGACTGGCAAAAAAACAAATACTTGGTAAGAGCAATGAGGGTTTTCTTATGTACTGAAATCCAGTAGAAATCCAGACCATTTATCTTTTTTTTAATTTAAGTAAATATGTCAACTTTTAAATTTAGTGCATCCATGAAAAAAAAACAGTTACTTAATGAACTGATTCAGAGTATTTTATTTATTTATTTATTTACTGTTGGTTGTGGGGCTTGAACTCGGCCTAGGCACTGTCTCTCAGCTCTTTAGCTCAAGGCTAGCATTTTACCACTTGAGCTACAGTGCACCTTTGGCTTTTTCTGTTTATGTGGTACTGAGGAATAGAACCCAGGGCCTCATGCATGTGAGGCAAGCACTGTACCACTGAGTCACCTTCCCAGCCCCCTGATTCAGAGTATTTTAAAGTTTAATTAATTACTTGAGACAAGATCTCACTATGTAGCCTAGGTGGCCTTGAACTTGTTCCTCCTGCCTCAGCTGCCTCTGAGTATTGCCATTATAAGAGCAGGCCACCACATCTGGCTTGAAGGAATATTTGAGGAACTGGTTATTTAAAGACTTAAAGAAAAAAAAATTAGATTAAGATTAGACCATTAGTTCTTGAATGTACTTAGAAATCTTTATAAGCCTAAATTTAATAGAACCAATTTCTATTGGTTAAATTTGGAACTTGAAGTATATTTGGTCAAGGCTTAGTTTTAATAAAAGGACAGAGAATTAGTCTCTTTCTCAGAACAATAGCTTTAAGCTGTATTTGTTAATCTTTTATTTCTCCCAAAGTGCATGCACTCTCCCACTTGACATATGAGGCAGCACTGTAGGGTTTTGCTTAGCACAACCTCACACTCTGTATAAACCAAATTAAAAATAACCAGGGAACCGTGCAGCATGTAGGTGTGCAAGCATGCCTCATCACTATTTCAGGTTGGGATTAAAGATAAACACAATGCTGTGCCCACTGGAGCTTTGCTGAGCAGCGGAAAGTTTCTGAATTATAAATAAGCTAAAGAAAGTCCAGTGTAGAATGCCATCAGGCACTGGGCTATGGTATTTCAGCCCTTCATGAAGTTATTGCAAGACTTTGCAACTTGTTCCACCCATTCTTTTGGAAAGTCCCCACAGAACAAAGTTGCCTTCTGATGCTATGCATCCATTTCACAGTTTCTCCTTCTACAAGTACCAAATATGCCATCCAGGACATCATGGCACACAAAATCCCCAACCTTCAGATCATTATCTGGTCTCTTCTCTTCTTCTGCTTCCACTATTGATCTATTTTCTTTGACTCAGTCAAATCTTATTTGAAAGCGAAGCCCAAGGTTAAGACTCTCATTAGAACTCTTATTGTTGTTCTACACTTTGGTCAGAACCCACACCAAAGTATTCTGTGAGTTTCTTCCTTCCTTTTTGCATGTACATGATCTATGTGCTTTTTTCTTGTCGTTGTTTATCTTCAACCATAAAATAGATCAGAAACAAAACACAAAAACATTAAGTAATTGGAAACTCTGTGTGTTAAGTCTCATTTTACTTTTCCCTATTAACAAAGGTATCTAGCCATGTGTGGTGGCACATGCCTGTAATACTAGCTACTGGGGAGGTGATAGAGGAATTCTGAATACCAGGCTACACCGAGCAATGTTAGCAAGACTATCTCAAGTGGTCCAGTGCTTCAATGAGGCCCTGGATTCAATTCCTGACATAGGAGGAGGGAGTGGTGGTATCTGAATAGGAAGGTAGTTGCTATCCATATATTTAGCTAATGAATTAACTCCATAATTTCTATTACAGAAAATTTTGGTTATCAGACAATCTTCCTGAGATTGGAAAGGAAGAAATCCAAAAAAGTATGGAATCTGTTTAGAGTGCATGAACTGTTTTTGTTCTTGTCCGATTCTCTTCATTAACCTTGTCTGCAATCTGTGCTGAATCCACAGTTTGTAAAAGCTCTCTGGGCACAATTCTATATCTTCCCCATGTTCCTGACTATAAAATTAGTGTTTTATTCCCAGGAGAACCCCCCTGGTATATCTTATTGTCTGTCAGTCAGACATCATCCTGTCACTGACTCATCTTGGAGTCACTGTCACTCCACTCCCCTTGGATCTGAAGGCTTTAACCTAGCTTTCTCAAACCAGCACATGGCACCCTGTGACCTAGACCACAGGCTACAGAAGAGGCTTCCTCTTTAATGTTTACTAGCTGAGGCCTACACTATCACCTTTATCAGCAGTCATTTTTCTTCCAGTTGATTCCCTTATTTCTCCTCTTACTAATGTGCAGAAAAACTTGTCAATCAGGACTGCCTCATACTTTGTGTAGCCTTTTGCTCCTTGAATCTGATGTCATATTAAGCCTACAAAAATGATTACTTTGTTATTGTTTTCAAGACTGAGGATTTATGCATGCTAAGTAAGTGTTCTACCACTGAGTTATACTCCAGCTCTAGATGTGATTTTCTGAAAAGTGAAATAAGGGTCAAGTATGGTGATATGTCTATAATCCCAGTTACTTGGGAGAAGTAGGATTGCAGTTTGAGTCTAGTTGAACAAAAAGTTAGAGAGACTCTATCTCAAAAACAAGTTGAATGGGGCTGGGAAGGTAGCTCAGTGGTAGAGTGCTTGCCTTGTATGCATGAAGCCCTGGGTTCGATTCCTCAGCATCACATAAGCAGAAAAAGTTGGAAGTGGTGCTATAGCTCAAGTGGTAGAGTGCGAGCCTTGAGCTGAAGAGCTGAGGGGCAGCGCCCAGGCCCAGAGTTTAGGCCCCATGACGGACAAAAAAAACAAAAAACAAAAGAACAACCCCAAGTTGGATATGATAATATATGCCTATGGGTACCAAGGTAGTAGAAAGCTGACCCAGGCAGCACAAGTTCTCAATGGGGATATGGCTCAAGTGGTAGAGCTCTTTCCTAGCAAATATGAAGTCTTGAGTTCAATCTGTAATACTGCCAAAATAAACAGAAATAAAGTAAAAAATGAAGCAAGCATAACAAACACAAAACTACCTGGTTCTATTTCTTAAAAAAAAAAAAAAAATTTTTTTTTTGGTTGGTTGTGGGCTTGAACTCAGGGGCCTGAGCAATTTCCCTGAGCACTTCTGCTCAAGGCTAGCACTCTACCACTTTGAGCCACAACACTACTTCCAGTTTTCTGGTGGTTAATTGGAGATAAGAGTCTCATGGACTTTTCTGCCCAGGCTGGCTTCAAACCATGATCCTTAGATCACAGCCTGCTGAGGAGCTAGGATTTACAGGCATGCATACCAGCACCGTGCTTTTTAAAAATTTTGTTTAAATTATTATTATAAAGGTGATATACAAAGGGGTTACATACGTATGTTACCATTACATACGTCAGATAAAGAGTTTATTTCTTTTTGGACAATATCACCCCAGGTTCTTTTTTTTTTTTTGGTTGGTTGTGGGGATTGAACTCTAGGTCTGGGTGCTGTCCCCGAGCTCTTCAGCTCAAGACTAGCGCTCTACTATTTGAGCCACACGCCACTTCCAGTTTTCTGGTGGTTAATTGGAGATCAGAGTCTCATGGACCTTCGGGCCCAGGCTGGCTTTGAACCACAATCCTCAGATCTCAGCTTCCTGAGTAGCTAGGATTGCAGGCATAAGCCACCAGCACCTGGCTCCAGGTTTATTTTTTAAAGGTAGGAAATCAAAGAAGAAAGGAAATTTGAACTTGGAAGCTTTTCAGATTTTCTGTTAACTTAGTAAATGTATTCTAGACAGAAAGCTAAGTCTCTTAGTAATAAAGGGCTTCCTTTGGTGTTTTTGGTGTTTGTTATGGAGGGGATTATGTGTAGTGACAAGAGATGGAAAAGCATTAACCTTGCTCCTTTTAACCAGTCATATGTGAATCTTGAGCAACATTATAAGATTACTAGTGAAATGAATACTTCCAACAACAAAACTAACAATTAAGGCATTTTCCTTTTTTTCTTTTCCATTTTTTTTTTTGGAGACAAGGTCTTGTTATGTAACCAAAGGTGGAGTAGAACTCAGTATATAACCCAGGTTGGTACTAAACTCATAATCTTTTTTTTTTTTTTTTTTTGGTTGGTCATGGGGGCTGAACTCTGGGTCTGGGCACTGTCCCTTAGCTCTTCAGCTTAAGGATAGCACCATACCACTTGAGCCACAGCGTCACTTCTGGCTTTTTTCTGCTTATGTGGTGCTAAGGAATCGAACCCAGGGTCTCATGCCTGGAAAGCAAGCACTCTACCACTGAGCCAACTTCCCAGCCCTCTAAACTCAAAATCTTTTTGTCTTAGCCTCCTTAGTGTTCATATTGTCATGTGCTAGCATATTTGGCTAGTTAAGGCACTTCTGAAGATATAAGAGATTCAGTATTCTTTGTGGTTTTTTGTTTTGTTTTGTTGGCTGTGGGGCTTGAACTCAGGGCTTAGGCGCCGTCCCTGAGCCTCTTAGTATTCAAGGCTAGAACTCTACTATTTGAGCCATAGCACCACTTCCAGTTTTTGAGTGGTTAATTGGAAATAACAGTCTCACATGGACTTTTCTGCCTGGGCTGGCTTTAAACCATGATCCTAAGATCTCAGCCTCCTGAGTAACTAGGATTATAGGCGTAAGCCACCAATACCCAGCAGTTCAGTATTCTTGAAGTTGAGTTCTATTGGAAACCCAAGATTAGCGGAATTGGAACCATTTTTCTTTTATGTTATTGGGTTATCCTCTCCTTGGCTACAGTCTCCTTCTACCGTCACCCCTGCCTCTGATAGAATGGTGTTGACAGAAATCTGACCTACCATGTTTGGCTGCCAGCCTTCAACATTCACACATCTGTCAATGCACCACCAAAAGTCATCTTCAGACTCTCCTTTCCAGGCAAAGACAGGAAATCCTATAATAAAAGGGATAAGGAAAAAACTATTAAAGGTTATAAAAATAGTTAACTCCCACATTCTGGCAAGAAGGTGCTGGTTTCCCCATCCTAAACCCTTTCTTTCTCCTATATTCCTTGAGTTGACTTTCTTCTCTATTTAGCATTGCTTGCGGCCCTTTTATTCATTCCTTTGTCTTTAGTGGTCATTCTCCTCTTGTTAGCTCAAAGAGAACAAACATAACAGATAAGAGTATAATGGTGGCTAAAAGTATGACTAAAAGAACAGAACAGAAATAACTAGTTGATACAGACTGGTCTTCTCATTGTTTCCCAATCTATTCTGATTTTTCTTGTTTCTATACTTTAGTTACCCCAACTTCCTTGCCAGGAAAACATACTCTGTTAATAAATCTGCTTCATGTCATATCCTAATGAAATGTCATGCTTCCTTATGAAGCCTGCTTAGCTAGCTAGAAGTGAGCTCTACAGGAATCTGAACAAGTCTATTATTTGTGTTCTACTGAATATGGTTTTATGCTATGTTGTGACATTTATAGTATATATTATGATTATATTATCATTTATCATATGTATTATTGAATTATCATTACTTCTGTAAGTATATAGTTTTATCTACCACAATATAATATTCTGAGGACAAAGATATCATCTCATTTGTTCCTTTAGCTCTTAGAGTAAGTCAGAAGCATCTGTTGAAGGAAAAAAGAACAAATGAATGTGTAATGTTCAATTCTTTGGGTTATACTTTTAATATTGTACTTTCCCATCAATAAATATACATCAATAAATATTATAAATAAATGGATATAAATGAAATAAAAATGAAATGCGAAGAGTGATAGCAAAAGAAGAGATGTGCATTATTGGGTTTTCCAGTATTCCCAGGAGCTCTGGGACAAATGTTTGGTACCAGTGTATCACACTGCCTGAGAGTAAAGGCAAAAGGCTGGTAGAGTCCAAATTTCTCTTTCTTTTTCTCTCTCCCCCTCCCCAATCTCTCTCTTGATTGGTCTGTGGGGCTTGAACTCAGGGCCTGGGCACTGTCCTTGAGTTCTTTTTTTTTTTTTTTTTCTTTTGTCGGTCCTGGAGCTTGAATTCAGGGCCTGGGCACTGTTCCTAAGTTTCTGTTGCTCAAGGCTAGCATTCTACCACTTTATCCACAGCACCACTTCTGGCTTTTTCTGTGTATGTAGTACTGAGGAATCGAACCCAGGGCTTCACAAGGTAAGCACTCTACCACTGAGCCACCTTCCCAGCCCTGTCCTTGAGTTCTTATGCTCAAGGCTAGTGTTCTACGACTTTGAGTCACAGCTTCACTACCAGTTTTAGTGTAGAGATAACAGTCTCACAGGGACTTTTCTGTTCCCTCTGGCTTCCAACTACAATCCTCAGATCTCAGCTTCCTAAGTAGCTAGGATTATAGGCGCAACTCTCCTGTGCTCAGATTGTCTATTTTTATTTTTTTTATCCTTCAAGTACCAGTGTATGTTGTGATAAAATATTAATCTGTCAGATCAAGTTCTCCTTATGGCTGACACAGAAACGTTAAACATTAAGTCAGGGTAAAACATTTGCTTGAAATCCAGCAGGCCACAATACTGGGGTTAAAGCAACTATATTTAAAAAAAATACATTTTCTCCAACCTATATTATCTTGGATAATAAGTAGGGTTTGTTGGTGCTCTATTAGTGAATCAAAGCAAAGCACCAATAACAGAGTATTAGACATAGGTAAATGTCTGTAAAGTACAAAACAATTTAAATCATGTTTGACAAGAGAAGCCCAGAAAGGGAACAAACTATCAAGAATAGGGATCTGTTTCTTCAAAGGCAGTTCCTTTACTGTCAACTTTCTTTAAAGATTTTTATAGAAACAATTAAACTTCTTGGAGGCTTACTTTAGCCACAGACATAGAGAACAATCGAAAGAGCTTACCACTTTCTGCTAGAGCAGCAGCCACTTCATTGAGAGTAGAATAGATGTTACAGGCAGCCCATCGGCACTGTGCCCCCAGAGCACCCAGAGTTTCCATAAGCACCTATTAAAGAGAAGGTGAGAAATGAACAAGTCTTTGTGAAACAACTAGTTAAGACCAAGTGTATATATTTGACCAATGATTTTCAAATTGTGTTCTACAGAACCTCTTCCATGTTCTGAGTAGTTGGCAGGGCTGGGGGAAGGCTGAGCTCCATGCTTTAACCTATTTAATCTATTGGGTCTCCCAAAAAATTTGAATGAAACCAATAATTTCACATCTAACATATTTTTAGTATAAAATATAATCTTATAGTTCTGCTTCTGCTTAAGATACAGAAAGCAGGAAAGCCTTCCACCCTAACAACAAGAAAAAGTTGGATAATCTATAGGGTCATACTTTAGCCCATCAAAGAACTCAGATCATAAAGCAACTGAACTCCAAAAAGTAATATATAAGGATATATTGCCTTTGGTGAGCTGCTATATGAGGGTAAGAAAAAGCAGTTAAAACTTTAATTAGAGGTTAAGTGTAGAAATGTGTGTCTTTAGCAATCTCTAACAGTCTCATTGTAGATACTCACAGGCAAGCTCTTTTCCAGGGGCTCCCATTTAGTGCTCACAAAAAAGATTAGGAGCAGGGGGATGTGGTTGGCTATGTTGAGATACAGGCACAACACACACACACACACACACACACACACACAAGTTTGAGGAAGAATGTAACAGAATTGCTGTGGTACTACCAAAAAAACCTTACTACAGAGGGGAATACCTTTTACAGAGGAAAGCCTGGCAGAAACCACCTTAATCAAGGGACTGAAATATCATCAGCCAAGAGAACAATTTAAATGATTGTGTTCAATGAAAAAAATACCGTGACACATCTGTGATATTCTTACTATAGGTGCATATCTTGATCTAATAACAAGGAAATACCAGAAAAATCCAAATTCAGGATATTGCACATAATAATTCATCTGTTACACTGTGTTGATATTCATATGTTGAATTGAAACCCCTGTGTAAAACTAGTTAAAGATAATTTTTTAATAAAAACAGCTGTAATCTCCAAGAGTGTCAAGATCATGAAAATCTAAGACTAAAGACGCATGACAATTAAATTCAATATGTAACCAAGAACTGGATTGTTTTGTTATAAAAAAAATTCAGTTGGAACAATTAGTAAAACTTGAATGGGATTTGAAGATAAAATGGTAATAATGAGTCAATGTTAAGTTTCCTAATATTGATAATCTGACTGGTTGTTTGTTTTTGGGGGGGGTCCGGTAGTGGGGCCTGAACTCTGGGCCTGGGGGCTGTCCCTCAGCTCTTCAGCTCAAGGCTAGCGCTCTACCACTTGAGCCACAGCGCCACTTCCTGCTGTTTTTCTTTTTGCTTATTTGGTGCTGAGGAATCGAACCCAGGGCCTCAGGCATGCAAGGCAAGCGCTCTACCACTGAGCCACCTTCCCAGCCCCTAATCTGACTGGTTGTATCAGAATGTTCTTGTTTGTGAAAAATATACATACAATGGATACTGGTGCCTTACATCTGGAATCCTAGCTACTTAGGAGGCTGAGATCAGAGGATCATAGTTTGATGCTACCCTGGGCAGAAAAGTCCTGAGCCTCTTTATTTCCTTAATAAACAAAAAGCTGGAAGTTGGGGTTTGTCACAGTGGTACAACAACAGCTGTAAGCAAAAAAGCCAAGTGAGTCTATAAGGCCCTGAGTTCAAACACCAGTACTAGCATGCAAATAAAAAAAATATTATTTAAAGTAGTTTATCTACTGAGTTGATCCTGAGACCCAAAATATAAGAACATGAGTCAAGAATGCTGGCTGGCTGTTAAGGCTCAAACAAAACTGAAGGCAGGAAAGGAGGAGGTAACAATGCTCGATAGGAAATATACTCATTACCTTACTCATGTAACTGTAACCCCTCTGTACACTGTTTTACAATTAAAAAAAAGTATTAACAAAAAAAGATTGAAGGCAGGAAGAAGGATGATAGGCCTTCGGGGTCCTTAGAGGTTGAACTTCACTTTAAATTGCCATCATTTTGAAGGACAACCACGGAATGTGTGAGAAGAACTATGCAAACAGAGGAACTATATAAATAGACACACATTTACTAGAAATATGGACAGGAACCTATGATATACTGGAACATGAGCTTATAGGAGAATACCTTTCCACATTATTTTGTGGTAATGTTTGAATATATAATTAGAAAAATAAAATAAATTAAAAACAAAAGAAAGCAAATTTTTGTAAAGAAAAAGAAAAACATTTATAAGTAATGCATTAAAATTGATAAACTAATAGTAATTATTTCATTCAGAAAAAATAGAGAGGGAACTCTAAATAGTGATAATGTTGACTCAGCATGGAGGTAAAAAACAAACTAGATATAACTTAGCAACATGATATAGTAGAGAAGCACTTACTATTTTAAGCCACCACACTGAAGCCTCATATCCCCTGACCAAGGAGGCCCAGAAAAGGTTTCAAGAATATTTCTGCCTTAATACATTATTCTGTAGCTTCAAGAAAAATAGCTTTACAATTTATGATATTAATTTGGGCAGTCAAGGTACTTTTTTCATCAGAGAACATATAACTTGGAAGCGTCAGAGTGAAGACAGAAGTTGTCTATTCTTAAGGAATCTCTACTGCCCTTCATCAGGAATATGACCACTTAAGCATGCTGTTCAGGAGACAATCTTTGGGAAGCTGACTGAGTTGACTCGGATCTTACAAATCCTGTAAAAGATTTTAGACAGCCAGGCACCAGTGGCTCATACCTGTAATCCTAGCTACTCAGGAAACAGATCTGAGAATCACGGTTCAAAGCCAGCCCAGGCACCATAGACTCATGGCTGCAATCCTAGCTACTTAAGAAGCTTTGATCTTGCAGGGTGCTGGTGGTTCACGTCTGTAATCCTAGCTACTCTGGAGGCTAAGACCTAAGGATCATGGTTCAAAGCTAGCCCGGGCAGGAAAGTCTATGAGACTTATCACCAACTAACCACCCCCAAACTGGAAACGGAGCTGTAGCTCAAAGTGGCAGAGCACTAGTCTTGACAATAAGAGCTCAGGACCTGAGTTCAAGCCCCTCAATTGACTCCCCCCCTCCAAATAAAAAAAAAAGAAGAAGAAGAAGCTGAGATTGGAGGATCATGGTTCAAAGTCAGCCTGGGAGTCAGTGGCTCATGCCTGTAATCCTGGTTACTCAGGAAGCTGAGATCTAAGGATCACAGTTAAATGCCAGCCCAGGTAGGAAAGACTATGAGACTCTTAACATTAATTAATCACCAAAAAGCTGGAAGTGGAGCTGTGGTTCAAATGGTATTATGCTAGCCTTGAGCAAAAAAGCTTAGGGAAATTGCGCAGGCACTGAGTTCAAGTCCCAGGACTGGCACAAAGTAAATAAAAGATTTTAGACTATTTCCTAGTATACCCATCCCTGTAGTTGTCTCAGTATGATTGAAAACTTTATTTCATCTTTGATGATGTCTTAAAAGAAGGAATCTGGAACACTGTGGGGACATCTGGGTTGTCATGATTGTGGGAGGAGTGCTACTAGAATTTAGTGGGCAGGGCCAGGGACATTCTGGGCATTTTTTTATTAATAAGTTTTTTATTGTGAAAATATTGTACAGAGGGGTTACAATTACATGAGCAAGTTTTTTTCTTTTTTTTGTCAGTTGTGGGCTTGAACACTGGGCCTGGTGCTGTCCTTCAGCTCTTCAGCTAAGGCTAGGGCTCAACCACTCGAGCCACAGTGCCATTTCCGGTTTTCTGAGTGGTTTATTGGAGATAAGAGTCTGCCTGGGCTGGCTTTGAGCAGTGATCATCAGATCTCAGCCTCCTGAGTAGCTAGAATTAATTATAGGCGTGAGCCACCATGGGCACTGGACATTCTTAAAGTGAAGGACAGCAGATTACATTAAAAAACAAAAACAAAACAAAAAACCAACTGAGCCAATTAAGCATAATTTTCAAATGTCCTAATGAAAGTTCACATGGGTGAAAGTGTATTTTACTGATTGACTGACTGGTGGTACAGTTACAGGTACAGGTGCAGGTGGTATCCCTTCAAGGCTTCACGCTTGCTTGACAATATAGTTCTATCATCTGAGCCAAACATGCCCAATACTTTTTGCTTTCAGTTTATTTTTCAGAAAAAGTCTCCAAATGTATATAGTCTGAGGCTGGGGGCTGGCCTCCACATTCTACCTACTCTAGCATCCTAAGTAGCTTGCATAAAAACTGTGAACTACCACAACCAACTTGTTTTTGAGATAATGTCTTTGTAATTTTTTGCCTGAATCAAGCTCCTCCTATCTCCACCTACCAAGTAAATGCACTGCCACACCTGGCTGAAAAATCTACTCGTAATTATCTGAGCTTAGAATCTAATTCTGTCTTATACACTAACAAAAAGTATTTTTGCATAGTTTTAATACAAACTAGCAGGAATTCAATAATTATGTAAATCATGAGAAAATTCATACTTTGATTTGTGGTGATTGTTCAGGAAATTACAAAGAATTGTACACTATTCAGAAAAGCATATAATTTGGTTACACTACCCTGATACTTTGAAACTAGTAACACATTTCCATCTGCCTGCATTTGTAGCAATCTTATTTAAATGAGAGTACAAATAGTAGTACAGTATCTGATTGCATCTGATGAACATCTGAAGTACATTTTGTTATAAATTTCTTTTATTTCTCCTTCATATTTCATTTAAGATTTTATATGGAATTTTTGGTTTACCTTAAGAGCTTGTTTTAAAGAAAAGGAAAATATTAACTCATGATATCCATTATAGTATTTTATTTGTCCTGGTGACTTTACAGTATCCAGTACTATCTTATAATAAGTTCTGTGGCCTAAAAATATTTACAAAGGAATAATTTATGCATCATGCACAAATTAGTTTACATATTTTTTTTTTTAACCAGTCCTGGGTCTTGAACTCAGTGCCTGGACACTATGCCTGAGCTTCTTTTGCTCAAGGCTAGCACTGTACCACTTGAGCCACATCACTACTTCTGCTTTTTCTGTTTATGCATGTTAGGCAAGCACTCTATCACTAAGCCACATTCCTAGCCCATGGTTTACAGCTGTTTTTTTTTTTTGTTGTTGTTGGTTGTGGGGCCTGAACTCTGGGCCTGGGCACTGACCCTCAGCTCTTCAGCTCAAGGTTAGCGCTCTACCACTTGAGCCACAGTGCCACTTCCAGTTTTTTCTGCTTATGTGGTGCTGAGGAATCAAACCCAGGGCCTCATGCATGCAAGGCAAGCACTCTATCACTGAGCCACCTTTCCAGCCCCTGGTTCACTGTTTTTTTAACCTAAAACTGTTTGAAATTGGAAATACAAGCTTATGGCCATTTGCATTTTATTTTCCTTAGTCTTTTCACAATTAATATATCTGATAACTTTATTTTTCTTTTTTCAAACCTCCTCCCTCCCAGTTAATTTAATGAAATTAATCTGAAAGATTTGTGTGAATGAGTTGGAACTACACACACACACACACACACACACACACACGTATATATATATATATATATATATATACACACACATACACACACACACATATACGTGTGTGTGTGTGTGTATGTGTGCGTGCGTGTGCACGCTAGTACTGGTGCTTGAACAGAGGACCTGGGCACTGTCCCTTAGCTTTTTTGCTTTACCATTGAACCACAGTTCCACTCTTGGCTTTTTGCTGGTTAACTGGTGTTAAGTCTTATGGACTTTCTTGCCTGGGCTAGCTTCCAATTGGGATCCTCATATCTCAGACTCCTGAGTAGCTAGAATTACAGGCACAAGCCACTGGCAGCCAGAAAAAAAATACTTTTCTCATAAAAGGAGACACTTAAGTTTGCTGAAGGTTGAATCACCAGTTTAACCCACCACTCACGTAATCTAGACCCCATGCCAAGACATGGAACATGGGAATTGTGATCTAGTTCTGCCCAGTGAGACATGATGGAATACCCTGAGGACTTCTGGAAAAAGTTTCCTTGCTGTTGGGAAAGAGTCCATCTCAGTTTGTGACAATTTGCTATCAGCTTGAAAATGAAGTAAGCAAAGCGAGGAAATAGCTCCAAAAGAACCAGAGAGGTAAAATGGGAGCCCTGATTCTGCATCTTAACTCTGCCTTCTTTCACAATGGACCTTAAGCTAAAGAATAAAATAATTCCTTTATGTAGATGGGACCAGGCTTTCTTTTATTTGCAGCTGAAAGCAGACCAACACAAAAGATTTCCTTATAGAAATGAAACTGAAAGAGAAGCTAAAAGGAAGCAGTATTATATAGTGTGAAAGCATCCTTAATGGTTCTGATGTGCATATCTTGATTCGGTGTTTATTCCCCTATAACCATGTACAAATTACTTAAGCCCTCTGACCCTGTTTCCTTGTTTACAAAATGGAAAGAGGAATATCTGCTTTATATGACATCTATACTTTATATGACTAATACTTGTTCAACTGTTAGCTAGGTGCTGGCTCATTACAAGCACTCAGTAGAGGTAGAAATTATTACTATTATTATTAATATTATGTGTGTCTACATGAAATGGTTTGGAGGCACCACTTCCCGAATCTTTGAATCAGTGTGGACACTGTTCATTGATACAGGAAATGAGATAAAGGCAGCTTCTTTGTATTTTAAGTGAAGCCTGAAATGACATGTGAAGATCTTGCAGAAGTCTGAAAGTAGAGACTGCTATTCGTTTATCTTTCCCAACTATACTCTTAATGACTTTGCTCTAAGGAGAAGTCTATTACTGTTTTAAGAAAGGAAAGGAAGTGGTGCTGTGGCTCAAGCAGTAGAGCATTCACCTTGAGCTGAAGAGTGCAAGGACAGTGTCCAGGCCCAGGGTTCAAGCCCCACGACCAACAAAAGGAAAAAAAAAAAAAAAAAAGCCGGGCACTGGTGGCTCACGACTGTAATCCTAGCTACTCAGAAGGCCGAGATCTGAGGATCAGGGTTCAAAGCCAGCCCAGGAAGGAAAAATCCGTGAGATTCTTATCTCCAATAAACCACTTAGAAAACCGGAAGTGGTACTGTGGTTCAAGTGGTAGAGCGCTAGCCTTGAGCTGAAGGGCTGAGGGACAGTGTCCAGAGTTCAAGCCCCATGATGGGGGTGGGAGGAGGGATGGGAAGGGGAGAAGAAGAAAGAAAGGACAGTTGTGTGTAGACTTCTTCCTGGTTATCAACCTTTTTTTTTGGTCGGTCAATGGGCTTGAACTCTGGACCTGGGCCACATAGAAATTATTAACTATTGTTGTTAAAAGAAGAAAGGAGGGCTGGGAAGATGGCTCAGTGGTAGAGCGCGTGCCTTGCATGCCTGAGGCCCAGGGTTCGATTCCTCAGCACCACATAAGCAAAAAGAAAAAAAAAAAAAGAAGAAAGGAAAAAACTCACAGCAGTTTGAGCAGTGATGTGTGTGCAACCCACAATTTTGGCTCCAGCCAAAGGCTTTTCTCCTTGAGCTCTCTTCCTTAGAGCCATCAGTGCAGGCATTTCTGAAAAGAACGAATACAATCACAATTGTTAGAAGAGAATAAACAGAAAAACTCACCCTATCAGTTTGATACTTCTCTTGATCAGGTTCTCTGTTAGATTATGTTTCCCAAGAGGTCAAGACATTAAACCTGAATTTTGTTTCTAAGAAAATTCAGACATAATTTCTCTAGAGTTGTAATGTCCCACATGCCAGTTTGCCTTATCCAGGAGTTTGTTCTAGAGACTAGACCCAGAAGTTTATACTGCCTTCCCACAGTGTTTTTTTTGTGGGTTGTGGGGCCTAAACTCTGGGCCTGGGCTTTGTCCCTCATATTTTCGGCTCAAGGCTAGCATTCTATCACTTGTGCCAAAGTGCCACTTCCGGCTTTTTCTGCTTAGGTGGTGCTGAGGAATGGAACCCAGGGCCTCATGCATGTAAGGCAAGCACTCTACCACTGAGCCACCTTCCCAGCCCCCACAGTGTTTTGTGAGCTCAGATTCTTTTGTTATAAGTATTCTTCAATATTACACTGAAATTTCACAAGCTACCAGATCTCAGGCAGGTAGAGAGGGAAAAAAGGTACTTGCTTTCTTTACCTTGCTCAGCAATTTCAATTTCTCTGCGTCCAAATTCTGCCTGTTTGATGTTCTTGACACAGAAGTCACTGCTTCCCTTAGAATTCTTTTGCTGCTTGTCCCTGGGTGATGTCTCATCATCAGAACTGTCTGTATATGAAGCCGCTGAATGACAGAAAGAAAGAAAAACACACATACATACTCTCTTAGAGAAAAAAATTGTATTTCTCTAAAATTCGGAACCCTGGAAGAAGTGGAAGAAATGGAGTCATTAGTGCCTCATAAATGAACATCTCTAGGAAGCACCTGTACCATGGAACTGGATTGTCCAAACCATCTGTGAAAAGCACTAGCCACAGGTCTGAAGGGGGAAGGTAAAAGAGGTTGCCATAGGCATTCTCAATGGATAGTATTAATGTAGGGCTACATTTTTATTCTGGACATGTAGAGGTACTTGAATATGCAAAGGGAAAGAGGTTACAACATGATAGCAATAGGTTAAAATTTCTAATGCAAGTCATGGCCATTTATCTCTGGGTTCCTAGGCTCCCAGATACCTTCCACTATATCTGGTCCTTAAATGCTTGAAGCAATTTGTCTTTTAGTATAATAATTGAACAGATAAGAACTACAAAACAAGGAACTCTTGGGAAAGTAATTAAGAACCACACAAAAAAGTGTTTGTCTGACATAACAGAGCTTTCTCTTTCAGGACTGGCTCTGATGAAGCTGAGCTATGCCTGCAGATGCAATTAGACACTGACAATGGAGTACTCATTTTGACATGGAGTATTTATGCTCTCCCTTCTTGCTGGCCTCAGCAGGTCTGCATGAGGCATTTTAGATTCCCAAAGCAACAAATAAATACTCTTTTGGAACAATAAAATGCTCTGATAACTAGTCCATTTAGCAGTACACACTAGAGGGTGAAATATCCAAGACTTGTGATTGTGGTCAATAGGCAGCTGCTGCTACTGCTATTCATGGGTTTAGCTGAGGTCTTTTAGTCCTCCAGTAATCCTGTAATTGTGAATCATTTTTCTGGGTGGTTTATGTTTAAGTGTCAGACGACAGTTCTTCCTTATCCTCAGAGTTTTTGGGGAGAGGAATGGGGATTATAAAGCACTGTTAATAAAGCATTTTCTCTTCTCAATGCAGGAAAAAGCACTGCTAATACTTCAGAGGCAGTAAAAGCTCAGAATTCCTAGGATCTCTGGTACTCTGATCTACTAATATCTAGATAATTAAGGCATTTCTGGGATTTCTTAGCAGAGGGTGTGTGGAGAGGTGGAGCTGAAAATGGCAAGTCTGACCTTGCCCAACTAATCAGGAATGGGGCTGCACACTGTGGGGGTCAGCAGGGGCTTGAGGATCTCTCTTGAACTGGAAAACTTCCCTGGAGCAAAGTCCTAACACGAGGCCACAGGAATGAACATGGCCCCAAGGGAGGTGAGGGAATTAGTAAATCCCCAAAAGGACTTTTGTTCTTGAAAGGAGCTAATCTGTACAAAAAGTTTTTAGTTTTCTCTCCTACAGTCAGTGAGAGCTCAAAGTACTCTTGGCAACAAAGCCTAAAAACAGCTTTCTTGGCAGTCCTGTAGGACCAATCAATATTTTGATAATAGTTTAGGTAGGGGAAACACGCTTCTTCATTTGAGAGAAGAAAGACAACAGCCTTCTCCAGGCTAGATCCAAATTTACAAATAAGAGTTGACATTTAGACTATCTTGAATTTTTTGTTTCCAGAATCATGATGGTTTTTAGGCTACCAGTAGCCATTACAAATTTTGTTATCAAGCAGCTTGCAAAATGGCTTATGCCTATAATACCACTGTGCTAGGGGATTTGGAGTTTGCAGTCAGCCTGGGCTCCTTAGCAAGCTCAAGCTACGGAGAGACCCTATTTTAAAATAATCAAGGGCTAAGTATGTAGCCCAGTGATAGAATACTTTCCTACAAGGCCCTTAGTTCAATTCCAGTGCTTCAAATCAACCAACCAACCAACACACACTGTGGTTATATGTTCTAAAGTCAGACAGACTTTGGTTGAAGTCTTAATCTGTTTCTGATATATAAAATGGAATACCAGAGCCTATTTAATAAAGTTGGTTGTTAATTTGCTCATGCTTTCCGGTCATTCATATCCCCAACTGTTTACCCAATGAATTCAACTTCTGCATCTCTGTACCTAACATTATCTAAGGTGTGGGAATACATGATAGATAATAAATGGTCCTTACTTTCATTGTGATGAGTCAGAAATGAAATAATTATCAAATTAACTACTTAGGGTTTTTAAAAATGCAATGTGTGCTATGCAGCAGAAATCAGGAGACTATATATAGTACTTGCACAAGGTTTGAGTTTGATCTCCAGTATCTCAAAACAAAAAGGTCAAAGTCAAGTTGTTAAGATTAAATAAAGTAGGTAGGTGTCCAGGGCTCACTCCTGTAATCCTGTTACTCAGGAGGCTGAGAACGTAAACCAATCTGGGCAGGAAAGTCTGTGAGACTCTAATCTCCAATTAAACATCAAAAAAGCTGGAAGTGGAGCTGTGATAGTGCCTTGAGCTCAGGGATACTGCCAGCACCTTGAGCTCAGGGATACTGCCAGCACCTTGAGCTCAGGGATACTGCCAGCGCCCAGCACCAAGATAAATAAATAAACAAAGTGCTTAGCAAAATGCAATTATTAAATAAAGGATATCTAAATCATATTACTTTTTGCTCATACTTAAACTTAGTATCAGCTTTAGGCTTTTGAGTAGAATTAAAAAGGTTGAGATGAAACTGTAACCCCTCTGTATACCACCTTTATAATAACAAAAATAAACATAAAAATTAACAACTTGTGGTTGGAGATGGAATGAAGGGAGGAGAATGAGGGAGCAGATGACACTATATGAAAGGAAACACACTCATTAACTGACACATGTAACTATAACCCCTGTCTATCACCTCTATAATAACAATAATTTTTTTAAAAAAATTAAAATTAAAATCAAGAAAAAAAAAGGTTAAGACGAGTCCTAACTCTACCTAGAATAGCTCTCCTTCTCTAGTGTCTTAGTGAAAAAACAACAAAACAAAAAACACAAATTTCCTCTTAAAGAGAAACACTCTAATTTTTGGCCTGAATTATTTTCATTAAGCATTCAAAGAACAATTGTTTATATCAGTTCTTTAGAAGCTAGAAAAAAAACATTTTTACTTTTTTAATAGTACTCAAGTGGGTTACTGTTAGTTCAACAAATGTTTTTCTTTGAGACAAAATAGATTTTTCAAAAAACTTTTATACAGAGAACTTTTTTTGGGGGGGGGAGGCAGTCCTGGGGCTTGAACTCTAGGCCTGGGCACTGTCCCTGAGCTGCTTTTGCTCAAGGCTAGCGCTCTACCACTTGAACCACAGTGCCACTTCTGGCTTTTTGTGCTTACGTGGTACTGAGGAATAGAACCCAGGGTTTCACACATGCTAGGCAAGCACTCTACCACTAAGCCACATTCCCAGCTCAGAACTTGTCTTTTTATACAAAGAACTTTTATACAGAGCTGCTGTCAGATAAGATGCAAAAGTAGTGGTCATCTGGATTACACTAATATGTAAAAGCAACATGGCTGACTGATGGAGACAGAGATGCCATTCGTTTTGTAACCATGGTAGAAACATGAAACACTGTGAACATTTCCTCATTTATTATTTAAACACATTTCTACCCTAAATGCTCATTTCTACCCTAAATTTCTAAATAGAGTTTCTAAAGTATTTATAATTGTCAGCATACTGTGAATCAGTATCATAATTATCATAAATAATCAGAGTCATAATTTCATTGTGTGATGGTGAGTTTGAGGCCAGCCCAGACAAAGTTAGCAAGAATTTGTCTCTAAAACAAAATACAAAATAAAAGGGCTAGAAGTATGTGTGTGTGTGTGTGTGTGTGTGTGTGTGTGTGTAGTTCAAGTGGTAGAGCACTTTTTTGGCATGTGTAAGACCCTGAGTTCAATTCCAATTTCCATTAAAAAAAACTGATAAAAGCTGAGCACTGGTCACATGCTTGTAGTCTAGCTACCTGGGAGGCTGAAATCTGAGGACTGAGGTTTGAAGTGAGCTGGGGCAGAAAGGTCAGATGGATTTTTTTATCTCTGATTAAACACTAAAGAGTCAGAAGTGGAGGTATGGCTCAAGTGGCAGAGAACTAGCCTTAAGTAAAAAACTAAGTTCAATCGCAGTACTACCACATACACCAAAAAAATTTGATAAGATGGAGTATTGGATCCTAGATCTAGATTCACCCCTATTGATTAAATGAGCAATTTTCAAATTGGTTGAAACAGTCAAATATAAAGTAATAAGTTTAACAGATACTTTATTTCCCTACGTTTACATTTTTCTCTAACCTCCACTAGAAAAATTTTAGGAATAAGTGAACTGATACCCCAAATTACTTAGTTTCTAAATACAAAAGTAATATAAAGTACAACATAACTTTGTGTGTGTGAGTGTGTGGTGTGTGTGTGTGTGAGAGAGAGAGAGAGAGAGAGACAGACAGACAGACAGACAGACTGACTGACTGACTGACTGACTGACTCAGATAGAGGCAGAGACAGGTATATTCTGTAGTTTGAAATCAGATCCTTAGCTGGGTGCCAGTGGCTCATGCCTATAATCCTAGCTACTCAGGAGGCTGAGATCTGAGGATCGCGGTTCAAAGCCAGTCCCAGCAAGAAAGTCCATTAGACTCATCTCCACTAAACCACCAGAAAACTGGAAGTGGCGCTGTGTCTCACGCCAGGCCCAGGGTTCAAGCCCCATGACTGACCAAAAAAAGAAAAAAACAAACAAACAAAAAAGAATCACTGATCTATAATCTATCTCATAGAACTTGCCTATGTTCAATAGCTGATACTTGATTTAGTCTCAGCTCCTAGCAGCTGTGATACTGTGGATTACTGTTAGGAGAAGAACAGTCCAAATTCTAGTTGAATTAGTCCTATTAAATTACTTTAAGTGAAGCAGTTCCTCTTGGGCCAAATCTATTTATTCAATAATGAATAAGATGTGTGTGTTTCTCTACAAATGTGTGAAAAGCTATACTAGCAACCAAAACAAAACAAAAAACTGGAAAAACGTGATGATTACCTCAAACTTTATAAGCATCAATCATAAATATGGGCCTCAGTCTTTCTTCGTCATTTTAAATCAGTTAACTCACTGCCAAGACAGGTTTGTTTGTTTATTATTTTGTTTTGGTTGGTTGTGGGGCTTGAACTCTGGGCTTGGACGCTGTCCCTGCGCTCTTCAGCTCAAGGTGAAAGCTCTACCAATTGAGCCACAGTGCCACTTCTGGTTTTCTAGTGGTTTATTGGAGATGAGAGTCTCATGGACTTTCCTGCCCCGGCTGGCTTTGAACCGAAACCCTCATATCTCAGCCTCCTGAGTAAGCAGGATTACAGGCGTGAGCCACCAGCACCTGGCTCCAAGACAGGTTTTTAAGAAACACATAATTGGGGCTGGGAGTGTGGCTCAGTGGTAGAGTGCTTGCCTTGCATGCATGAGGCCCTGGGTTCGATTCCTCAGCACCACATAAGCAAAAAGAAAAAAGCTGGAAGTGGCGCTGTGGCTCAAGTGGTAGAGTGCTAGCCTTGAGCTGAAGAGCTGAGGGACAGCGCCCAGGCCCAGAGTTCAGGCTCCATGACTGGACCAAAAAAAAAAAGAAACACATAATTGAGAATGGTCTGACTCTAAAGAAAGGACTTTTCTTTTTTGCTTTTATGAGTTTTTTGTTTTTCTTTTGTTTAGGGAACTTTTTAAAAGTTTCTTTCTTTTTTTTTTTTTTAAAGGCAATGGTTTTCTACCCACATTTTCCTAGTATTAAGTTCCAATGCCTTAAAACACCCATTGCATATAATGAATTAACTTCTCTCTCACACAGCTAGAGAGGTGCTAGCTATTATTTAGCATCTCTCAGAGAATTAAGAAAACAACCCATCAAATCATTTTATGTGTTCTGAAGTTCAGATGAAGACCTTTATCTGAGGAGGCTGGCAGTGGATTTTAAACCAGAACTTGGCAAAACTTAGTGCTATGGACAGGAAGGTTTTTTTGTTTTTTTGTTTTTTTGGTCTGGTCGTGGGGCCTGAACTCTGGGCCTGGGTGCTGTCCCTCAGCTCTTCAGCTCAAGGCTAGCACTCTACCACTTCAGCCACAGTGCCACTTCCAGCTTTTTTCTTTTTGCTTATGTGGTGCTGAGGAATCAAACCCAGGGCCTCATGCATGCAAGGTAAGCACTCTACCACTGAGTCACCTTCCCAGCCCAGGAAGGTATCTTTTTGAGCATGTTATAAAACTCCTTTTGACTTATCACATATATAGAATAGTAAATATCCATCAATAAAGGTTTAAGGTAGAATAAGAATGAGCTAGGGATGTAGCTCAGTGGTAAAATACTTGTCTAATGTGTATGATGCAGTGAGTTTAGAACAAAAAGGAAACAAACAAAAAGTAAAGAAAAGAAAAGAATGTTCTGAACCTCTTTTTACCAATATTTATCTAGTAACTCTTCTGTGTCCAATGTAACTCTAAATGTTGGCATTCTAAGTGTAGCTGTACAAAATAGGCAAAAATCTCTGCTCTCAGATTTTACATTCAAGTAGGGGGAGAAAAACAATTAGTAAAACATACTAAGTGCTATGGAGAAAAATTAAAGAATACTGATAGTGCTTAGTGGGTGTTGGTACCATTTTTAAAATAATTTTTCACTGTCAAAATTATATGTACTATATTTATTGTACATGACATGATGTTGTGAAGTATACATTATGGAGTGACTCAATAGAGCTAATTAACATATGCATTGTCCCACATATTTTTTTTCCAGTAAAAACACTTAGCTTCTGTGTTCTTAGCAATTTTCAAGAATACAATACATTGTTATTAACTGCAATCATCCTGCTAGATACAATTTAAAAAGAATAGGCCTGAATGCAAAGATGGTAATTAGATGAAAAACAGAAAATAAGATAGCCAGTCATGCATGTTTTGGGAGAAGAACATTCCAGGCAGAGGAAACAAGTGCAAAGGTTGTAAAGCAGGACAGTGCCTGGCATGTTTCAAAATAACAGTAGGAAAAGCTAGTGTGGTTGGAGTGAACTGAAGTGTTTGGGGTGAGGGAGGTATGTGGAAGAAATGAGATTAAAAAAATGTAATGGCAACTGGATGGTACAGGGATATTTAGGTCACTGTAACAACCTTCTTGGCCTCTAACCAGAGTGAGACTGCAAAGTCACTAGAGGGTTTTGAGCAGAGAAGTGATATGATCTTACTTTTTTGTATGCAAAAATGTATACAACTTCATTTTTATTTTATTTACTTATTTTTCCAATTCTAAGGACCACACCAGGGCACTGTATATGCTAGGTAAATGTTTTATATTCTCAGCCACTGAGCTGACTGACTTTATTATTATTGTCATTGTTGTTATTATAATTGTTATTATTTTTTTTTGCCAGTCCTGAGGCTTGAACAAAGGGCTTGGGCACAGTCCCTGAGCTTCTTTTGCCCAAGGCTAGAACTCAAACTCATTTGAACCACAGCACCACTTCCAGCTTTTTTGTTTATATGGTACTGAGGAATCAAACCTAGGACTTCATGGATGCTAGGCAAGCCCCTACCAATAAACCATATTTCCCCCCTCCCCCGACTTATTTTAAAATAACAAATTTGGCTGGGTGCCAGTGACTCATGCTTGTAATTGTAGATACTCAGGAAGCACAGATCTGAGGATTACAGTTTGAAGCCAGCCATGGCAGGAAAGTCTGTGAGACTCTTATCTCCAATTAACCACCAAAAAGCCAGAAGTGGAGCTATGGCTCAAGTGGTAGAGTGCTATCCTTGAGTTAAAAAAACAAAAAAACAAAAACAGCTCAGCCCCCCACTGCAAGTCCCAGGACCAGCACAACAACAAAGAATTTGGCCGTAGCTGTGAAATCAGACTGAAGATAACATGGGAAGTCTGGGATAAACAGTTGACGTAAATGTGTAGGAAGATTTTGAACAGGAGAAAAACATGAAAATCAAACACCAATCCATGACAAAACTATGAGATTGGATGAATTAGGGATGGATGAATTTGTATTCTATTTTAGGGAGTACATGTCTGTAATCCCAACACTTGGTAGACTAAGGCAGAAGAATACTGAGTTTGAGGTCAGCCTGTTTAACATAGTGAGACCTTATATTAGAGACGACAACAAAAAAACATGTAAAATAATAATTTACCTAACCTAAAAGCTACAGCCTCCTAAATGATTTTTTGTAGAATTCTTTTAAATGTTATTGACAATTTATTTCCTATTGGTGTAAAGAACAAATAAAATCTTAGGTATGATAAAAATTTCCTAATGAATATTATCTACAATATGAGGGTAAACTCTCAGCATCTTACCACATTCTAATACAGAACAAAACAAAACAGCCCCATGTTAAGACTCATTACTGGGTACTGCCATTACTTGTCCGGGGTCATACTTAATAATAGCTCATCTGAAATAAAGATAAGTCATCTGACATAAAGATACGTCAGCCCCAGAGTAGATTTGAATTAATGCCACTGCAAAGGAAGGAAGAAGTAACAACCAAAACAATGTCACAGCTTTGAAAAGAAGGCAAAAGACCCACTTGCTTGAACTAAATATAATGTTTTTATAGTTTTTTGGGGGTAACTGAGATTGCTTGTTACTTTGTAGTACCAGATGGAGGAATGTGAACCTCTTTTTTAATTTTAAAAGATGGAGAAAACTCCAGTTTTTTTACATGCTGCTCAGTTAAGATTACTGACAAACATACTCCCATCTTTCTATATCTCAAAGAACTCAATTTCCTTAATCATCATCTTCTACTTCTGCTGGAAGAGGAGAATGTTATGAAGCTCCACCCTTGACTTTCCAAGAGAAACAGAAAAACTCCAGGTTAAAATTTGATCAAAATGCATTGTTTTAATAAACTGAGCTGTTGAATGGTAACTCCCTTGTACAACTGCTTAACGATAATAAATATGTAATTAGAATTTTTTGACTCGAAGTATTTATTCAAGGTACAAGTTTAAACATGCATTACTGACCTTAGATGGATGGAATGGTCTGTTTTCATACCTAAGAGCCTTGAAAGGAGGGTCATGGTAGCTCAGTACTTACCTGAGCTATAGCTGTCAGTAGATGACTGAGAAATAGAACGGGACAGAGAGCGGCGTCCAATTTTGGTGGGACGTTTGTTGAATTCTTGCTTCTGGTCAGCAAACTGAATCTGCTAAGAGAAAGAACCTTAGTTATACAAAGGAAAAGAAATTCCATGTTGATAGAGCAATTTAAGGCTTATAGGTTTCTATGCAGTTGGTCTCACTGTACCAACCATATTTGGAAATATTAAGACTATGGGAAGAAAAGTAATTTTCTTCTATAAACTATTTCTTCTAATTTTTTTTCTAAAAATGAAACTATGAATGAAACATGAACCTGCTATGTTTCTACCAAATTTTAATTCTTTTTCCTTTTTATGATACTAGAAATTGAACCCAAGGACTTATACTTGCTAGGTAGCTTTCTATAAACTGAACTATACTCCTAGTTCTTTTTGTTTTCGGGCCTTTTTTCAGGGCCATCCTTGAACTCAAGATCCTCCTGCCTCTAATTTCTTAGACATGGAACACTATGTTTGACTTCAAATTTCAATCTTCAATCCACTTTCTTTTTTTTGGGGGGGGAGGGGGTGGTCCTGGTCGTGGGGCCTGAACTCTGGGCCTGGGCGCTGTCCCTCAGCTCTTCAGCTCAAGGCTAGCACTCTACCACTTGAGCCACAGCGCCACTTCTGGCTTTTTTCTTTTTGCTTATGTGGTGCTGAGGAATCGAACCCAGGGCCTCAGGCGTGCAAGGCAAGCGCTCTACCCCTGAGCCACTTTCCCAGCCCTTCAGAAATCTACTTTCTGACTATATACTTTTTGTGTTTTGTTTTTTGTCAGGCATGGGCTTGAACTCAGGGCCTAGCTGCTATCCCTGAGCTTTTTCACTAAAGGCTAGTGCTCTATCACTTTGAGCCACAGCACCACTTCCAGTTTTCTGGTGGTTAAATGGAGATAAAGAGTCTCACAGACTTTCCAACCCTGGCTGGCTTTCAACTTCAGATCTCAGCCTCCTGAGTAGCTATGAGCTATCAGCACTCGGCTAACACATATTTTTTATAATAAACTTGTGACCAACAATAAGAAAGATGTCTTAGTCAAAGATAATTTTAAGGGCTGGGAAGGTGGCTCAGTGGTAGAGCGCTTGCCTTACATGCCTGAGGCCCTGGGTTCAATTCCTCAGCACCACATAAGCAAAAAGAAAAAAGCTGGAAGTGGCGCTGTGGCTCAAGTGGTAGAGCGCTAGCCTTGAGCTGAAGAGCTGACGGACAGTGCCCAGGCCCAGAGTACAGGCCCCATGATTGGACCTCCCCCCAAAAAAAGATAATTTTAAGAAGCTGAATTATATTCAGAAATCCTTGGTAGCTGAGTGCTGGTGACTCACGCCTATAATCCTAGCTACTCAGGAGGCTGAGATCTGAGGATTGCAGTTCAAAACCAGCTGGGGCAGAAAAGTCCCTGGGAGACACTTTTCTCCAACTAACCACCAGAGAACCAGAAGTGGCAGTGTGGCTCAAAGTGGTAGACTGTTAGCCTTGAGCAAAAAGAGTGCATAGTCAATGCCCAGGCCCAGAGTTCATGCCCTGGAACTAGCCAAAAAAAACACAAAAACAAACCAGAAATCTTTCATATAGTTTTACTGAAAATTAAAGCTGGAAAGAATCTTTGAGGCTATCTGTATATCTATAATCTTCATATATGTATATGAGAAAACTATAAAGTACAAAAAGGAAAATGGCTTGCTGTCAGGTTTCAATATTCTCATGAAATGGTATGCCCTATAAATCTTGGAAAAGCTTTTCATTAAGACAAAACATTCCAGAATGTTTTAAAATACTGCCTGTGCCACTCATTAGCTGTGTGATGTTGGTCAAGATGTTTTTCTGAGCCTTATGTTCCCATAAATACAACATAAAGACACCTCACAGGTTTTTGAGAGAGCTAAATGAGACAATGTATGTAAACTGTGACATACAGCAGAAAACTCAGTAAATTCACTAATTTCTCTCATCCATACAGTTTAGTGTTCTTGTAACTATTAGAGGTAGCCACTTTAATTAGTGAATGACTGGACTGGATGTATACTCAGATCACAGCCTTTACAGGGTGTATCTGGACTATACCTGATAATAACTTTGTGTGTGAAGTTTTATCTCTACTCCCTATTGTTGAGGGTTCCAGCTGGTATTTATAATGCTGTACAAATAAAGTTCCTATCTTTATTCAATTAATAACATTTCTTTTTTGCTATTGGAATGTTTACATCAATATGTAGATTATTCTTCTGTATACAAGGAGGCAGAGGAAGGTCTGCTGAAAAGAATGATAGCTCTGACAACTAATTCTGTCTTTATAAAAAAAGATGGATGGGGCTGGGAAGGTGGCTCAGTGGTAGAGCGCTTGCCTTGCATGCCTGAGGCCCTGGGTTTGATTCCCCAGCACCACATAAGCAAAAAGAAAAAAGCCAGAAGTGGTGCTGTGGCTCAAGTGGTAGAGCGCTAGCCTTGAGCTGAAGAGCTGACGGACAGCGCCCAGGCCCAGAGTTCAGGCCCCACGACCGGATCCAAAAAAAAAATAAAAAATAAAAAAAGATGGTTCTTTGATGGGCACAACAGACTCAGAATACCATGAAAGCAGCAACTGTTGGCTACACATCCCACACTTAGAGGTAACTGGAGTCCTTTTAAGTGTTGAGACAAGGGGACCAGTGCCAAATTGAATTAGTTTAGCAATCACTGCCTCTGAGGGGAAATTAATAGCATCTCCACAGCTATAACAACAAATAAAACTTCCATAGTGCTTCAGAGTTTGAAAACTGTTTCTAGCAACAGAAATATTCATTGGATTAGAAGCTTATCATAAAATGAAAGATGACAAGTTATTTTCCTCAAGTACCAATTCATTACAAATGGATCAAGTACTCTATGTACTCCCATGGGATACACAGGAATTTTCATGTACTTCTAGCACAGTATTCATCATATCAAATGTAAATGTTTACCCATCTATATTTTCAATGAATTATAGGCTCTATAAAGGTATGAACTGGCTAATTTCTTACTCCTTATATATTATTTTTTTTTTTCCCTGTTAGTTGTGGTATTGAACTCTTGGCCTGAGTGCTATCCCTGGGCTCTTCAGCTCAAGGCTAGTTCTCTACCACTTGAGCCACAGCACCACTTCCAGTTTTCTGGTAGCTAATTGGAGAGGAGACTTTCCTGCCTGGGCTGTCTTTGAACCGTGATCCTCAGATCTCAGCCTCCAGACTAGCTAAGATTACAGGCGGCCACCTGCACCTGGCTCACATTCTTAAGCAAATGCCTGCAATATCAGGCAGTCACTGTAATTGACTTTCCATAGGCCCCAAGGACATACTAACTTCTACAATGCCTCCTTAAAAAAAAAAAAAGGGCTAGGAAGGTGGCTCAGTGGTAGAGTGCTTGCCTTGCATGCTCAAGGCCCTGGGTTCGATTCCTTAGCACCACATAAGCAAAAAGAAAAAAGCCGGAAGTGGCGCTGTGGCTCAAGTGGTAGAGCACTAGCCTTGAGCTGAAGAGCTGAGGGTCAGTGCCCAGGCCTAGAGTTCAGGCCCCACGACCGGACCCCAAAAAAAAAAAAGAGTAATACTCTGCCTCAGATATGCAACATAATCTCCTCACCCCTCCCTGCAGTATAATAGGCATCCTCTCCCTCTCCCTCTCCTTCTTCCTCCCCCCCCTCTCCACTAGAGGGGGCCACTCACTTTCATTCTATAGGTTTGTGTGAGTAAACGTCTATTCATGCCATTAACAGTATGCCATACAGACACCGACCTGCATTGCTATCTGAAATCAGTTTTGTTAAACTGAGATCTCTTATGTATGTCTTTTTCCTTTGTAGTAATACCTTCACCAAGAACAAGTTTAAGCTCTTGACACTAAAGAATAGGCTGTGCAGCTTTAGAACATTGTCTTCTTGCTAACTGGTTAGACAATGAATTCATTTGTTTTAAAGACAGAAGAATATTAGAGAAAACTAACCATTTACATACAGTGAGTTATATGAATTATACACATTCCTAAGGAAAAAAATGCTTCTTTCACTGATAATCAGAATGTGTAAGTGGATTATCCCTGGTGCCTTCTCCCTTCAACAGCTACGTTCTTCACTCACTCATCAGTCTATTTTCTAGTACAATGTTCTATCCACTCTGCTTGTGGAATCTACCAAGAATTGATTTGACTTTCATACCTTGTCAGAAACCACAGTCCTTATTGGTAACCCTCTGCTTCAATCCCAGCAACAACTGCCTAATTACGCCAGGCACCAAGACAAGGGAGAAAAAGAGGCTGCTAGAGGGGGGTAGCTCATGGTGAGTCAGAGTGAGGAAGGAAAGCACAAAGGAAGAAGTATAAAGTAGCTGGCTTTGCACAGTAATGGCCACAGCAGAGCAAGACTGGTAAGTAAGAGCTCAGTCTTACCTGGGCTTTAATCTTAGAGTTGCTGTTGACAATATATTTCTTCTTGCTGCTCAGCATAGTGACATTACCAGCTCTAGTCCACCTTTTTGGTCCAGGAACCTTGTAGCCAAGTCTTTAAACTTTTCTCATTAGCAAGTCTGTTAACTCTGGCTCCAGCCAGCTTTTTTTTTTTTTGGGGGGGGGGGGGGGGGGAGCGGGTGCTGTCCTTCCTTGAAATCCCTGAAACAGCTCCAATCACCCTTTTAACAGTACAGCTCTGACAATAAGGCAGTTCTGTTAATGGCTCATCAGCCATTCCTAATTCTGGGGGCTGTTTTGCTTTTATTATTGTTTTTTGCTAAACATGTAATTACATGGATCCTCTGACCTCTAAACTTTAACAAGTCCCTTGACAAGGCCCAACTTGCATGCACACACAATAGCTTATTTATATAACTGGTGCACTTTTTTGCCTGCTATAATTAACTTGCTAATTAGGTTCCTTTTTAACCTTACCTCCTCCTTTTCCATGTCAGATGATTTTGGTTAACCTAGTCTCATTAGAAAAAAATTAACTATAGAGCAACTAAAACAATGAAGGAATTTATTACAGTAAGAAAAAAAATATTAGTGCCAAGTACTCAGGCAGCCTCTATCTTACACTCTGTCCTGGATTAGCCAGATAGGGAAAA